TGTGGAAATTGTTTGGTCATCAAATGAAACCGCGCATTGTTAGAACTAGCCATACAAGACATGTATATTCGAAAGTACCATTAATTCTTTTAAAAACTATTCTCTATAAATTACCATACATATCGTGTATTACTGTCTTATTTCAGATAAGTCGATATTTATAAACGTTTACCAAATTAAAATATCTCTTCCTAGTTTCGAAATAAACAGCAGCATAATGTAAAAGGACATCACTGCCTGAGAGGAAGTCTAGAATACGAAGACGAAGTCTAATACGGATTAGCATAGCCAGCATAGAATCAAATTATCGATATACTAAATCTTTTTCTAATAAGTAGAACATCATAATAAAAAAACTTGAAATGTTGCACAGGGGGAGCTCTGTATAAAATTTAAATATTGATCCAGTAAAAGAGGATAAGTCTTTAGGAATTCTCACGGGAATGAAAGAAATTGATTTCACGACCACTACTATTACTTATCATTTTTAAATGTGATCCAGTTCTAATCTAAACCACCATTACATGAGCCGTGTCAAACTATTGTCGCGGTCATGTTCTAAGTGTTTGCAGGTGTTTCCTGCGAGTGGCCAATAAACTTTGAATTCTCGTATTTTGTGTATTTTACATGTTTATTTTTCTTCATACTTTTAAAGCATTTACAGGTTGAGCTAGATTTAAAATTTAATTCCTACAAATAATCTGACAGTCTGATGCTATCATCAACCGGTGATTTGGTCATAGAAAATATCTTCTAATAGAAAATCCTTCATAAACTCAACCTTGTCGGGTTGCATTGATTTAATTTGCTCCAAGATTAATTGTAAATAGGCAATGTACCTACTGCTCAATGCTGCCACACGAGGCTGTTGAAAAAACGATAGTAATGATAATTGCTTAAAAGTTAATTTCTAGAATGTTATAATAAAAATATAATTATCGCAGTCTTTAAGAAAAGAGTGGTACAGTTATAGTTTTGGTATGACATTTACTTATTGTTATTCTGATAGGTTATATTGTTATGACTTTTGTTGGTGTTAAATATTTCTAAAATTATGAAAAGACAACCAATTTGCATTATCTCCATTAAAAAAATAGCAATATGTCTCTGTGTAAATGTCCAAGAACGTTGTATAAACATACTGTAGATGGTACAAAGCGACCACCTGTGCACACTGTCAGGTTCCCACAACGCCTCCACGTCAATATTGACACAGATTATACGATTCCGTGGATGCCGCGATATCTCACGTACGGGCGGGGTTCAGGAAGTGGTGTTTACCTGTAATGTTTACTAATTGATACTATTACCTCGTAATTAGAAAATGAAACATTCTGAAGGTGGTGTTAGATTAAGTAAGCGAATCATCTTAATTTCTTAAATTTTAAGGTATACACACCAAAAAGATAAACCGAAATGTGACTTCGTTCATCATTCTGTTAAATATACATATAGCATACCTTTATGGTTGATCTTAGGTGTAGAACCTCGTGGAAACTATCATATTAATTAATAACTGTAAATTGGGCTCGATGGGCTAAAATAGATCGGCTATTTCATTATATCATTTTTATTCATGTCCCTGTATCATATACCGTCAGCATATTTTTTTTTTTAAGAATTACGTTTTAAATATTCATTAAGAAAAAAACATGCACTCAGTAACTGCCTCGGTGGCCCAGCGGTTTAGTACACCGCCTAGTAAACCTTGCATTGGATGGTTGTGGATTCAATTCCTACTACGGTACAAACGTTTGTATGATTGTTTATAGCTATCTGCTCTGCTTAGCGTAGAACTAGATAGCGCTGCATGAATTATCGTATCGTTGTCATGAGATATTAGTATTATTAATAAATAAGAATATTATGCATTTAAAATTAATTGAATTTGTTTCAGTTGCGCTTTCCTTTTAGTTTACTTGTTTTTGTAATTCCATCTTATCACTTTTACCTAATTTATTAGCATAACCTTGACAATACCTAAAGTTTCCAATCTTCAGAGATTCCGACATCTGATCTGAGTTATCATAAGGAAATTGATAAGTTCTGTTTATCGCATTACGCATTGCACAAAACAATTGTTTATACAAATAGCTACCTAGATATCTATACAAATATTATAACTTCGAAAGTAACTCTGTCGATCTATTCTTTTCAATTTTATTGAAAAGTTTTAGATGATTTTACCCCGCAGGTATCTTCTACATTTTGTCACATGAATAAAAAATATATTTTTTAATATCTCGGAGACTATTAAAAGTTATTTTTATAGTTATATGTAGAAACGAATTGTCTAATGGTGTTACATATTAATATTTAAATAAATTGTTGTGAGTTTTCATATCTTAAATGATTTAAGTTTCACTATGATCCAATTATTTGGAAAATTCATATGACCTATCCTTAATTTAATACTTTCTTACCTCAATAAAATATGCGAGAATATTTGCTGTCTAATTATATGTTACTATTTATCTAATCAATAAATCTATTTGCAGTTTTATTGCGATATCACTTAACACCCTCCAATTCGATGGAGGCACGACCTCAAACAATGATCTGAACTCTGTAAATAAAGCTACGGAAAATACCATTAATGGTTACACAAGAGGCAATATGAGACAACTCATGTTTGTTTGTTCGAAATACTTTTACTCGTAGTAAAATGTCATATCTCAGTATTTAGGCACATTTTTACAACTTAAAATATTTCTTACATTAAAAAATGAAATTTTATTCGTAAACTTTTCAATTTGTCTGTAGAACCTTATACCAAGTAATATATTAGAAAGTAGTGAATAATAACAAATCGGTAAACTTAATATATATACATAGTTCAGCAAAATCAACTTTCTAATATCAACATATAAAAATGATGTCAAAGTAAACAATATCTCTTTAATTTTTGGGCGTTGAAACAAATATCAAAAAGATAAATGTTACCTTTACGTCTGTTTTTACTTCCCAAATATTACTGCGATATTAGTAAAATACATACTGTTAATAACACAATTATGGACAAATAATTTAGTCTTGAATAAAGTATAAAATTAATAACCTATAATTTAATTCGCCACTTACGATGAGCATAAAAGTTCCTTGTTTCCAAGAACGATGGCGTCCTTGCTAAATAATAATTAGCAGAGCAAATCGTCCAATTTAACGTTTTTTTCATTCGAACCTGGGCCGACATAGAGCGATAAAAAACTAAAGCGATTTTCATATATTGGCACAGTTAACCAAAAATGCCAAACGGTTTTAGTTGTAAAAAGAGAGGAAACGCCCACATAACAAGCTCAGGATTTTTCAATAATTGCCAATAGGTGCAGGTGCAGGGTAGATAATGTTTTTTTTTTGCTAATTTTATATGGACATATCCATAATAGGTTGTTGTGAATTCGCCGATTGAAAATTGCAGCTATAAAAATCGTTAACCACCTAAAAGATTTGCGATTGAGTTTTTTAACATGATGAAAGCTGACATTTTAGAATGTGATAATTGGTTAAATGAAATAAAATAACTATATTAGCTCTCTCTTCCTTTAACAACAAATCAAGCAATCAATTTTATCTGAAATTTGAATATATTGAAAAACGTGTTACTAATATTATTTTTCCCATTTTAAAAAAAAATCAATGCTCTTATTTTTATACTATGTACTCGTAGTTTAGTTTATGTAGATAAGTTAACTTACTAACCTACTATGTACTAACACACGGAATATAAATAATTAGTTTCTATTATGTTGTCCACAATTAAATTTATAATTATATTATTACACATATCGGTTTGTAATTTTTTTAGAACAAATACTTGCACAAGACAATCCACGTGGAGTATCTATTTACGTCTGTTTAAACATTTAAGTATTTATATATTCTCATTCACGCTACAAATGTCGCACTAAAAAGTGCAATTATATGCAGTGTCAGATAAGTATATCTCGACGGATCAAAATAAGAATAATTGTTGGTCGTTTAATATTCACAAGGCACACCGCACTATCTTTATTTGGACAGTTGGCGGCAGGTGTGCATGTTACCTTAATTGGATACGCGAAAACGAAATGAGATTTTGCTTTTTGGCGCTTAGAATTCAGTTTTTTACTATTTGTAGCCTGATTTAGGTCCCAGGTTGGGTCATTTTAAAGGAATTCGCCTTCGAAGGAATATTATTTGTTCCATTCCAGACAGGATGCTTTTTGTGAGTGTGTATTTTTATTTAAACCATGCAAAAAGTTTTGTATTTATTTATGCACTGAGTTTTTTATTTATCACTAGTAAAATCTGATAACAAAAATGGACTGACGTGCATACAGATAAGCGACGGAGAATAAGAAGCGGAACAAATAGATTAAGTCAAACAACCGTACGAATTAATTAAATTTTCTAACCTTACTACTACTTTAATTTTCGAATCTCACAACTTTTTACATAATGTTTCAAATAACACATGTGTAATATAAAACAGGTTCAATAACACTATTCATGAAAATAAACATTACGTGTTGTTACGTTGTTGTTGTATTAACAGTTTAGTTACTCTATCTTACTACTGATGGATATGGGTTCGATTCTTCGCACGCTATAAACATTTGTATTCATGAGTATGATTGTTTGTAACGGTCTGGGTGATTTTTATGTATATTGTGAATATATTTACAAAAAATATATATCTAAGTATTTAAGCATAAAAACGCATACACACGCAAACGCATACTAGCCTCCTAGCCTACCACTATAGCCAGGCTAGGCGGTTTATTTAAGGGATTTATCACTTGTGATAATCAGATATAACATATCCTCATCCGAAAAAATATTTTTAACCCTAAATATTTAAATATCAGTTTAAAAAATAGCTATACGACATGGCTTACGCTACTGCACTGCTTCTAATTACAAGTAGATATTTAATATATGTGGAGTTTTATAATAAAACGAAGTAGTTAATACTAAATTAAATATTTATATTTCATAGGATAACTATTCTTAATTAATACAATTATTAATATTAATTGTAGTAGATATTTAAAAGAAGATTGTAATAGTCTTAGATATTTGAAATATTTTATAAACAAACAACTGTCGTATCTTTCATTATATTGACAAGATAATACCTGACCTTAAAGGTTTTAAAATACTCTAAGATAACTTTATCGTTATTTCTTAAACAGTACTTTATAATTATGATTACTTATTTAATTTACTATATATATATATATATAATTATTATTATTATCCTTTATGTCAATTCGTTTGGTACTGGAGTATATTTCAAGCCCGTGTCGTTGAGTAAAGTCACTACCCAGGAGTCTTTAGGTATCTTTCCTGATTCCAAAAGCTTTACAGCAGCAGCAACATTGGCACCACTCGTATAACCAACGTATAAACCTTCCTTTTCACCAATAAGTTTCATATACTTGACTGCTTCGTCATCACTAATACTCACTGTATCATCCATGTAATCAAATTTGAACAAATTCGGCACACAACCATATCCGGAGCCTTGAAGCAAATGTAGGGGTTTTGTGATAGGCTCACCTTTTATGGGCTCTGAGCCAGTCGGCTCAACAACATATGACAACAAGCCTGGATTTTTCTCTTTTAAATACTTCGACGTACCGGTGAACGTTCCTGCTGTACCCACTGTCGCAATAAAAACATCTACGTGATGACCAGTCTGTCTCCATATTTCTGGTCCAGTTGTATCATAGTGGGCTTGCGCGTTTGCATCATTATTAAACTGGTTCACATAATATGCTCCAGTATCTTCCACAATCTTCAGACCTACTTGTTCAACAGCCTGGACATCAGCGAGTGTGACATTGCCATAAGTTCCTTCCACTTGTGGCACTCTGACACATTTAGCTCCCAATGCTTCCATATGTATAGCACGTTGGGCACTGTTACCTTTCGACATCGTCAATGTTAACGGATGACCTAGCACCGCGCAGACCACAGCAAGACCGCATCCTTGATTTCCTGAAGTAACTTCTACGACAGGATGCCCCGGTTTCAATTCGCCTGACTGGCGAGCTCTTTGTATCATTTGCAGAGAAGAACGGCATTTAATAGAAGCACCAGGATTCATGAATTCACATTTGACTAGAACTCGACCAGGCCCCGTATAAAGTCGGTCAAGGGCAACAATCGGCGTATTCCCAATGAGTTCCAGAGCGGACGCTTTAATCTCGTTGTCGACACCATCTATCGGAGACATTTTTATTTTTGATAAGACACTCACTACACTCAAATTACAAAGCACTAGTAAGAATGATACCGAGAGCAAAGGCGGCCTTCTTAAATCATTACTACGCGACGCAGGGTCGACTAGTTCGGTGTGCACCGCCTCGTATCAAGACATTGGAACCGAGCGCAAAACTAATAAATCATTCATTGCGCAATAGGTGCCTTTAACTAAGTAGATATTTACATCTCACGAAAATATGTTGTTACTACATGGTAACAAGCTTTGTTTTCTTTGCATGATAGGTATTTCCCATTGTATATTGACTAAAAAATAAAGATAGATAAATTGTCAGTGGTATTCCTGACGAACTGAATGACACAAAAACCATAGAATACCACGGTCACCAAAAGTTTGTTTTGTACTGTCTATCTAGACACGCGGAAGCGTGTCAAGCCGAGTTTCAAGTAAACTGGCCTGCAGCACCGTGTGTATATTTACACGAACCATTTGGAGCCACTTTTGACCCCCTCATAACTCAAAAACTCTTTCACACAAACCTGTCAAATTTGGTTCATATATTGAGACTTGCGAGATAAATATGTGTTCCAAATTTCATAAACATATCTCAAACGGTTATTTAGATATTAATGTCCAAAAATCGTCATTTTTATCACTGATCAACTATAGATCAAAATTATTACCCACTTCCAGATGACCTAGGAAGTTCAAATTTGGCATGCAGATAGGTAATTAGGTGAATATAAAGGAAAAAATCTGAAACTGGTAAATTGTTATCATTTTACTACAATTTTTCACTTTAATTGATTATATTTCAACTTATACTGGACGAATACTAAAATTCTATGAAAACGTCGATAGCCACCAATTGACATTGATCCCTGGCGAAAAATCTCATCTTGTACTGGACGGAAAGTAATATTGTATGAAAAAGTCGATCATTACCAATTTACGTTGACCCCTTCACATCAGTGTCGATAACTAGCAAACTTCAAATATTGCATTGAGCGGTAAACACTAGTTGCTATAATTTAGATTCTGTCTAAAATATACTCGTACTTATAACTAGGAGTATAGTCGAATTTCGTATATATTATGTTATTAACTGAGATTTGGTATTAATTATTGTTTCAATATTTAGCGCACATCGATAGTGTAAAATCATTATTTTTATAAATAATTATTAAATAATAGGCATTTCGGCATAGGGCGCCGCGGCGGCGCCGTGTGGGAGCGGTGCGATAAAACTCAATGTTTTGTTTCTCGATATCTAACCTATAAGGTTGCGATTTATGCTACGAAATTCATAGCTTTCTTAAATTATACTTATATATTTGTGGTTATATTATTATTACATTATTTTAGTAAATACGTATGGTATAGACAATAGTTTAAACCAAAAATTAATAACAATTTTAGTATAGTTATAAGTAGGAATGTATAGTTAACTCGAGAATGAGAACTCATTGGTAACAAATTGTTTTCTTGAGAATTCAATAGATAACAGTCAATTTGTTACATAATCGTCTTTACTTTCGATTTATAACGTGTCAATACGAAGTTTCAGATATTAAATAATGTATATGTTGAAAGAGAACAATTCCGTATTTGCTTAACATATGCTATTACTATCAACAAATCACAAGGCCTTAGTTTTGGCAGTCCTCTTCTCAACATAGGCTCCTCTATATTTAATAAAGGGCAGGTTTACGTTGGACTCTCCAGACTTAAAACCTTAGATGGAGTACGTCTTAACAATTTTGATCCAAGTCACGAGAGCTCTATTGTAGAGTACAACCGTCTGTGGACGTTATACCGCCCCGATTTGCCCAAAAATTCCTGATACTGAATTGGCATTGCACTTGAACATTTAAAAGTTACAAGAAAATATAGAAAATAACACAAAAAAAGACAATTATACCCCGTAAATATACGAAAATACAGTAATTTATCAAAAATAATTTGGTATTAATTTAGTTATAAATAAGTACCTCGTATAATTTATGTACAAAAAGTAATGATATCCCATCAAAAACATAAATGTGAAATGATAGCCGAGTTTAATATTATGATATATGCCTTGATTGTTGACTTCTACGACAAAAGAGATGAGATCTAAATGGGTGCCAAGTTCAATGGTCTGTCCTGAAATGTATTTATAACAATATAAAATATCATTTCTTCTTATAACTTAGGATAATATACTGTAGCCTAAGGTCTAACTTGGCTAGTTTTCATATACGAAATATACTGTAGCCTTCGCAAGTTCTAAACATGTTACTTGACGGTTCCTATTTTAATATTAATAGTAACTAGTAATCGAAAGTAATAATTGGTATATGAGAACTGGCCAAGTTAGACCTTAGGCTACAGTATATTATCCTAAGTTATAAGAAGAAATGATATTTTATATTGTTATAAATACATTTCAGGACAGACCATTGAACTTGGCACCCATTTAGATCTCATCTCTTTTGTCGTAGAAGTCAACAATCAAGGCATATATCATAATATTAAACTCGGCTATCATTTCACATTTATGTTTTTGATGGGATAGTGTATAATTCTACAAGGTTTATGATTATTAGTGATTATTAGATACATAAATACAACTGTTAATCATACTATCTAATATTATAAACGCGAAAGTTTGTGAGTATGGGTGTATGGATGGATGTTTGTTACTCTTCCACGCTAATTTCTAAAACTGACATACTTTGTAAACGGTACGGAAATATATAATAACATAATATGGTATTATATATTTTCGTCTTAATATAACATCGTGTTCAGGTTTAAAAACCAGGAAATGACTGGAGTATAGTAAATACAATATTTGTGATAGTTTATATTCCTTACAAAGGATAAGTCCCAAATATAATAAAAAATAATACACAAAAATTCATATATATAAAATTTTTCATAAAACGGAAATATTTTTTTTTACCGCGAGTATTTTATATTGTAAATGATTTTGGAAAAACTTTAACAAACCAGATTACCTACTTTGCAACACTTGAACGAAACTAATCATGACTATAGCAGTTACATATTAAATTGTATACTGATATACATGTCAACAAATTTCATTATGTTTGCGCCAACTGGCAAAACACACAAAAAGTGCAAATAGCTACCACCCCTCGACATGAAACGATTATGTCAGAAGTGGCAATTGCGAGATATTTAGCGTTCGCCAATTTAAAGTGCAATCTTATCAACGTATAAAAAACTTTATACCATTGTATTAAAATACAATATCTATTAATACTGTTGTTATTCGTCCAACCAATCAGAACAATATTTTCATTTACGAAAATCCACCATACATTACTATGAATAAAGTTGGTTTTAAAATGCAGTTTAAATGGATTCAGTCACACCGATATTGTATTTTGAAGACCCACCAGATGTCAAAGCGGACTCGATCTATTGTTAACAAATATGGGTACAATGGTGCACAATGTGTGACATTACTTTATTTAGCGAAGGCAAGTAGAGACCAAATGTCGGCCTTTAATAATTGGGTGCTTATAAAACTGGTGAACAAGTGACATCTGTATCTAAACAGTGAACCCAATTTTGTAGTACTATTTTGGTTGTATATGGTATTGATATTTAATAATGCCTGGCTCTTTAGTTCTCGAAGGTCGCCAATGAACGTTTAAAGTAAGAGCACAGATAAGATAATAAAGAATAACAAAATGCATAATCAAATCACTTGGTCATCACGGCCATTTCAATCTATGACATAATACATCAACAAATAACTAACAACAAGGTATCTTGTGAATAGACTATTAGAAAAGTACCACTACTAAATATATTATATATTTACTATTCTCATGGTAAACGTTATGCCGGTCATTAAGTTAATGTGTTGTTTTCAACTTGAATATTGGTCTATTATTCATTAGGATGTTGGTATATCTTTACATAGTATAAAATGAACTACGCAACGGATTTTATGCAGTTTCCAGCAATAGATAGAGTGATTCAAGAGGAAGGTTTATATGTATAATAAGTACACCCATACGAAGCCGAGGCGGAGAGCTAGTTAAATGTAAATGTGGTGTTCTTCTGGAGAAGCATACCAGCTACTACTTAGCTACGTACTGTTATTACCAGTTCAACGATAGGGCTCGCATGGACCAGGGAATTAAATCAGTAGTTATGTTTCTGTTTTTCATTTACAATTATAAATTATATAAAATTGTTCTAGATCTATATGTTATATGATCTGTATGTATAAGGACAAATAATATTTTTAAATATATACAAAATTGTATACAAACAAACTTAGTGACGCTGTTGGGTGTATTGTTTAACTGTATGCAAGACTGTAATTAATTTTGAACGTTTTTACCCATTAATTAATGTGTTTATGTAAGTAGCATTTATAGTATTGAATTTTCCTGTTTAACTTGCAATTAGTTAATAAAGATTTACCTATTATTTAGAAGCAAGACTGTTCTAGTACCTCCGTCTGTCTGTTGGTAACATTAATATTATTCAATTGATTAGTACATTTTATTGTAAATATACACATAATATTGACAATCCCTAGATCAATACAGGCAGGCAATCTGAGAATAAACCATCCAATTATTAGTCAGAGAAACAATGTGGTACACAGCTACAATACTAAGGTTACCATAGTAAATAATTACATATATTTAAATAAATTTGAGCCTTACTACTTCGACGTAAAACTCAGAAGAACAAATAAATCTCGGTGATACTCGAAAATGTCCAGTTCCCACGCGCGCACACCTGCAAGCAATAAGCATACAATGCTAGCATTCTGACTGCCTTAGTTCCTCCCGCCTCTGTTTAGTCTCCTTGTCTCACCTTGCTTCGGGCAAATCTCTAATCTATTAACACTTTAAGACAATAACTAAATCTAGTTGAAACCAAATTAGCTGCCCTTTTAGGATAATCACGATCATTTTTCAAATTAATTAATAGTTTATATTGCCGTATGAATGTCTTGTGATATTTGTTAATTAGGAATTAAAATTATTATTCTATTTAGTTTTCTACTTTATTTTACTAAATAATACTTGGATGTACAGGTATATATTATATAATTAAATAAAGAAATAGGCTTTCTTTTATAGTAAGCCAAAATTACATATTCAGCCTCTATAAAGTTTACCCTCTAATAAATCATCTAGATTATGCATAGATGATATAAGTTTATTGAATTCTCATTATTTTATACTTTACTAGTCCCTCGCTAGGTACTAACGATATAGTACATCATTAGAGTACGCAAGATAACGATTCCTTTAACATACACTACAAAGCATTTAGCAAAAGTTAATTGAAACCCCTCAATATTAATATATATATTATGTAGTTTGTAGTTATATATACCTTATATTTACCATAGTTTCTGTACCCTGAGTGAAAGCCAATTCATTACTTCAAAGCTTATTACATGCTTTCACCGTAGATACAAGAGAGCTTATATTATATTTAATTTGTGTACAAATTAAATATAATATAAGCAATATTGATAGAATACCTTCATGAAACAATATCGAATTCTCATCATAGATAATAATGTATCAACTTCACGAAAAGGAGTGAACATATAAACATAAACATAAGTTGGAAAGTAATTTCTTCTAATAAAAGTTTAACCGTAGTTTGAATGTAAAAAACTATTCATATAATTGAGCAGGAATATTATTTAATTCTAATTCGATTTTATAACCATGATTCAAATTCTATTGTGTGATCTAGTGGTTTAGCGCTAACTTACATACGATGGATACTGGTACTTATGCAAACTTTTTAATTCTCATCTGTGTATTGATGTAGGTGTACAGATAAAACATCTAAATCATATTGTTGTAAAAAGTGTTTAATAATTACTATCAGACTTGTAACATTATTTATTAATTATAATTTATTTTTTTATATTACACATTTATTTATATTTATATTTTATATTATTAATATATTTTATAATGTTAAATGTTACCTTCTAAAGATATCAACGTCGTTTTAAATGAAAAAACGGGAAAAAACTGTAGAAAAAACGGGAAAATAAGATTTTGTGTCATTGTCGGTTGGGAATATGATAAAGTTCAGAAGGAAACTCTTTGTCTTGTAAAACTGGAAAAAATTGAATATTATTCTTTGTTTGAAATAATTATTATTTGTCATATATGTTGGTTGTTAACTGGAATACTATATTTAAACAGCTATTTAAATATATTATTCCAGTATAAATAATATAATATATATAACCTATAATTTAAACAGCTGTTGTCTGTAGTCTATAGATGGTGCTGTGCGAATTGTCTAGATTTATATATTTTATTAAGTTCAAATTATTCAAAATTTCTATAGGGGTACCTACAATACCATTTTATTTCGTAATATATATCTGAACCAATTCGAATTTAATTTGGTACAAAAATTAACAATTTAAGTAACTTTTACTCGAACTCTAATTCATCGGGGTAATGTCACAGGATATAGCTAGGATAGATAAATATAAGATAATATCAACTTTTGTATTATGCTAATGGTGCGATTCTTTAAATCATATATGGAGATACAATTAAGTTATTTAAATATCCATATCTAGACATAGATGGGTGCTGGTGGCTTAGTATTATAACCTTGTTACAAGTCGTGGTCATACATGCGAGAAACCTATTTTCAACAGCAAACCATTGGTGATGATAATGTCTAATTTAAAGGCAAATCACCAACTTGTATATAGATGTAAATATCGGTGAAAAAAGTTTAAAATATTGTTTACATATTTTAAAGAGGTTACATTAAATTATTTATATCAATGATATATTAAACTCAATACTAAATATGTTTTATACACAGTTCCGTTTTCTATGAGAAGTAAGTAGAATATTCTACTTACTCAAATCAATATAATTTTCACTTTTTTCTTATTTGGAAGCTATAGGAATTGCAACTGTTTAGGACAATTCTGCTCTGCTTAATTTGGTATCTACTAAATGGCGCTATGTGATACATCTAGGGTTATTTATTTACTAGTCATTAATCAAAACAGCGCAAAAAAATTACCGTGACAATTATGGGTGTTCTTGAAGTAATTCAACTGAAAGATAATTTATTGTCCTGTGTGTACTAAATAGCCGTGAAGTGAAAAGGACAATAGCATGGTTAACCTCGCAACGGAAAGGAGACAGAAAGAGTCGGTATGCTCTGTGGGAATCAAATCACGACTCACGCGCATCGCCGTGAAAGGATCCTGGAACGTTTTTACGAGTACCTACAGCATGTATATTTTTCTTTAAGAAACTGATAAAGACTTTTTAAAGCATTTGAACTCTAGTTTTCCATTGTTAATTTGAAAATAGAACGCTACTAAAAATTATTAAAATCAGAATATCTTTATTCATGTAGGTTTAATTACAGACACTTTGATAAGTCAAATCTGTCGTCATTTGGAAAAGTTGGGACGTTTCAAGAAAAACTGTCAATAATCTCAACTACTAACTCTTTTCAATAAGATTGTACACATGTAGCCCAAAACTTAAAAAGTTTTATCGGGAATAAATGATTTCCAATTCTGGATTTTCCAGTCTTAAAACTCAAGAAATTAGTTAATATTCTGGCGCTGAAGAATAAAACGACTGTCACATCTCCATGTTCAGAAATTTAATTAGACCTGTGACTATTGTATTAATGTTCTCATAAATATCGCTACTGAACTTACTTATAGTTAATTATGAGATTTTGAGAAATATGTCGATAAATAAATAAATCTCTTACTATATATATACAGATACACATACGAATGAAAAACAATATAGTATAGTAGGCAAAGAAGTATTGTTATTCAGAATTCTTTACAAAGAAATCACGATTTGAATAAACAAAGCCTAACTGTATAAAACCTGGACGTACTGTATAAAATCCGTGGGCAGGTTCGGATGCACCTGAGTATTTCACACCGCGACTCGCTGGCGCCGACGGCCAGTCTACTCTAGTCTCTGACCCGAGACCATAGACATAACAATAGGTAGACAGTATAATCAACAATATGTACAGTACAGTAAATACTAAACTATTTATGATGTTGTACCAAAAAATGTTGAAAGTAAACACCTACAATTTTTAAATTATTTAAATATATTTTACAAACGGTATAAGTTAGTTAGTTAAAAGTTTCTAGTTTAATTCTGAATTGTTTTCCTCTGACAGACATATTCAAAATTTCCCACAAATAACAAATATATATTACCACCACTATGAGGACCAGTGAATAAATAAATAATGATTATAATGAATAATTTTACAGGAGTTAATTTATAATATAATATACTACCCTGTACAAATAGACTATAAATTAGTACAATATTATAAATTACATTTAATCCTACTTCTCATTGTCGACAGGAGGGGATTGTTGGAAATAGGAATAGTGACTCCCCTAACTAGCAATTTTCCACGTTAAATCATGCCCCCCCCCCCGCCTACATACTACATTAATTCCTGGTGAATTCGTCACAATGAGTATACTGACTTAAATTATCATCTTATCAACAGACAGGACCAAGTTGGTGCCCCGCCAGCGTAAACTGTTAACGCATGCAGGTGCACAATTGCATTATCACCCATTGAAACAAACATTGCTATCACCTTAAAATAAATAGATCCTAAAAATCTAGTAATATTATGTACTTACGATTATCTCAATCTGAAAATTCGAACAACAAATCATTAGCTAGTTCGTGTCTAGACATTTATGGGCACCGCCCACTCGTACAGCATGTCGCGGCCCGTAATGGTATTAGCGCATTCCATAATCTGAAAGCTACTCTTCGACATTGTAATTCAATCGGCACTGGACTGACAGACAACTTGATTTATCAGAAATTAACGAGTTTATATTATGATAACCATAATAGCTGTAACTTTGTACTCCTTGTTACAAAAATTACGTGGACCGTAAAAGTATGAAGTTTGGCATAATTAAAGTGGATACGGACGAGTTCAGAATATTAATAGTTTTATAATAATAATTATTTTAAAAGTACATTAAATTAATTTAAAAAAGAATTACGTACACTTACATGCGCTTGACATGTGTAATTTTAGACAATATAATCCTAATAAAATTTGAAGTTTTAAGGAAACATAGTTGAATTTCAGACACTGGGTTAAACGAAACGCATAGGTACAGTTTCTTTTTCTGTAATTTGAATCTCATAGACAAAAAGTAGTACTCTCATCCTAATAGATATACTAATATGTTATCATAGAGTATATTTTAGAAATCGTTATTTCGTTGAGATTTTGGCATTGGACGAATAAATTTGTCTGAATACACATGTATGGCTTATGTTTCAAGTAATACTTTTAATGTAATAAGCATGTACGTACATGTATATATGTATATAGGTATTTACAAAATCGATATATATATATATATATATATATATGAGTATGTACATTTAGATTCGATTTGTTATTATTATATTTTAATGTGCCTATCAGCTTATCTAAATTTGCTAACAGGCTAAGATGAATATGTCGATATAATTCGGTAAATATCGAATTAAATGCAATTAAAAAAGTTTATATGTTTATTTTTACTTAAGTATACATAACCATGTATAAATAGAATACAAAAACAGTTTTTTAAATACTCAGATATTATTTTATTTCGATCACGATACTACATCAACCAAACCAGCTCGTCTAGACTAGTATCGATTTCGGTAGTAAAAAATAAACATTTATTGGTATATACTACATTTCAATCGAACTTTTGAGGCACTACATTAAATTTAAAATTAAACATTTTATAAAATGAACTTTAAAATTGAAACTATCAAATGTAATTTCGCATATTTTAAGCTTCAATGCAACTCAATATTACGACTGGAATTTATCAGTATTGCGACATTTAGATATATTGGATAATGCATTTGATTCAATTGAACTAATCCGGATTACATATCGTGCTATATTCTGATATATTGAATTGCACTCATAAGTATAATAAATCTGTTACAGAAAGAAGCCAAACAAATAAACAACGTAATTTAAATCGATTACCGAATCTAATTAGACTTTTTTATTTTTGTAGTAATTTTCAAAAAGTTTTTTAAATAATCCAGTCCTCTCAGGATGTGGATTTTGCTTCATAGTAAGATTTTCATCTATAAATAGATAATCAATTTCAGAATCTCCAATGGGCTTCCATTCAGTAGTAATGACGTTATCAATCTGCGGTGTAGGTTTCCTGCAAAGGAACGATACCAAGTATGAGCTTTACTATTGTTATAACATTATTCTATTTATCGTAATGTTGGTAGTAGTGTTTCAAGACACTGACAAGACACCTTTCCTATGGTTGGGGATATGCGCAAGTATACATAATACAAACAGTTTAGTACATGTTCAGCTTAGTTTAGTGGAAAGTAGCGAACGAACAAGTGTGACAATGACAAAAAATACCAATTGTAACATAGATAGACTGGAATAAGGAGTGACTCTGAACCACCAGTCTTGATTTTCTCATTTGAGATCGCCGTCACTACTTACGTTTTTTTGTATACATATACCTTACTGAAATGACAAATCAAAATCTCGTCTGACAAATGTGGTTAAAATCGCTATTATATACAAATGGACATTATAAATTATTTGTATGTATTATATATTGCTCCAAATCTTTGTTCTGTTCCAAGTAAGTAAATAAACATTGATACAGGTATACCTGTATTAATGTTTATTATCACTACAATTTCACGTAAAACTTTTACTAGGTATATTAAAAAAATAGGTATATATTAATTATACCTACCCATATTTAGCAAAATTCGTCCATAGTGTTATAATTCTTTCTCTCACCAATTCATCTGTTTCAGAAATCGTTGCAGATTTAAAGGTATCTAACTTTAATATATATCCAACGTCGTCTCCATGGCTGGTACCTTTACGATTAATCTTAAACTTCTGTTTAATTAAATTCAAACCACCATCGTAAGAAAATTCATATAAATACACGGGGGAATTGTGTTTGGCTATTAGTGTTGTAGCTTCGAAAATACCACCAGTGAAGTCAATGTCTGAGTAGAAATCTATGGCAGGTGCGTCAAGTTCCTCTTGTCCATTACTATTATTTAAATATGTAGACTTTAAATCAGCAGCTACTTCATTAATATTGCTATCCGGAATGCCAAAGAATTCTTGCAAGTGTATTTCAAATTTCTTTTCATTTGTTAATTTATCTATCAAATCTTTTTTAAAAGCTAACAGAGAAATTCCCTCATGTGAACAAAATCCTCCTATATATGGAACTTTATTAAAACTTCCTTGTGATAATAATTCAAATGTAGATTTGTCCAAAAATGGTTCCCAATCTCCAGGCTTCTCAATAGTTGGAACAAATCCAAAGTGAAAACCACCATTATGTTTGTCCGTACCCAATGCAATCATAGATGTTTTGATTAAATCATCAATCGGCATGTCTTTTAAATATTGAAGTAGTTCTTCATCGTTTTTAACAACCTTTCCTTTTAGAACTGGTATGTTCCTAACTAGCTCCCTCACTTTATTATTTTGAGACCAAGGTGAAAGCGAGGTGCCAGATTGAGCAATACATTTATGAAACAGATTCTTAGCCATAGGCGAAAGACTTAGATACTCAACAGACGCACCACCAGCACTTACTCCGAATATAGTGACATTGTTAGGGTCACCACCAAATTTGCTAATATTTTTTTTAACCCACTTAAGAGCCTCGACCTGATCTCGTAATCCCATGTTGCCTGGTGCATCTTTTCTGTCCAGACATAAAAATCCGAGGACACCCAGTCTATAGTTAATACTGACTACCACTACATTCTTTTTAACTATATAATCCATTCCCTGGGCTGCATCCTCTGTTCCGATTCCAAAGACGAAGCCACCACCATGAATATGGAACATGACAGGTAACAAAGATGAATCTGTTCGTGGAATAATGGGCGTGGACACGTTGAGATATAAGCAATCTTCAGATCCTACTATAGTGCCACTTTCTTTATCTAATTGAACACAAAAATTGCTTCTTTTCGCAGCATCTCTTACTCCGTCCCAAGGCTCTGGTGGAACAGGTACCTATTAATAAACATAACAAATATTATAATGCTATGAAAACCAATATTATAAAGCAAGTCCGAAAAAAACAAGTTATTATCAGGCTCAAGATACTATTGTCGTAATTTGCACAATGGCTAAAATCCTTGAATTTTAGCCATTGTGCAAATTACGACACTAGTATCTTAAGAGCCTGGGAATAACTTTGGATTTTAGCCATTGTGCAAATTACGACACTAGTATCTTAAGAGCCTGAGAATAACTTTTTTTTCGGACTACTCTAATGCTTGGCCGCAGCTGGCCTTTACAGCTTCACCGGACGATAGGGACGAGTGCAGATGGCACACCAAACCCGCGGAAGACTTGTAGTGCGGCTGAAGGTCAACTCCTGCCTGACGGATAAGACTTTAGTCAGAGGGCACCGCTAGGTGTTCGAACCTCGGCTCAGGCCGTTGTAATATTGATCCCCGTTTCAAACGGGGGATCAAACGGAGGGGCGACCGGGGGAGACCGCAGGCGCCTTGTTGATTGCGCAGTATGGTGTGTTTGAGGTCGTCACCTTCCTGATAGTAACTAGCATAAAAAAGCACACTAAAAAAATCAATCTTTGAAAGAATAACTTAAGACGAACGAAGTCGGAAGTAAGAACTCTCCTTTCAGAGGTTTGAGCAAATAGACGTGTTGAAGCTGTTGATAAAGCTGATATCATTTTGTCGATCTATTTATGATAAAGACATTTTTTATGTACCTACCTACGAGAAATACAATTATAAGCTGCTATTTCCGATATTAGATAAATTATTATTTTAAACTTTTTTAGACATATTTATCTTAATGAAGCAACATCAAAAAACCATATTAGTCAACTACTTGTCGTACAAATTAGAAGGCATTTTATCTTGAAGTTCATCTTGGTATTAAAAAAAGTATATATTTACAATACAATCCTCTTTTACGGTCTAGTCATGTTACATAAAATACCTATATAAGATTTAATTTTCATAAATTGCATAACATTCAAATGCATATTATTTTAGCTAATTAGAAAAATATTTATTCAGTGCAATGTAAAAAAAAAAATTAACTAATTCATGCCTGATTTTGCATTGGCAAAAGTCTATGGTCTATGGTTTCCTTAATTCATGTACGTAGGGAAATATTTTTTCCGTACTCTTGACATAATATTAAGATAACAAGTTGGATTATTTTTAAAATTATTTAGCATTATATATGATAACAAATTCACTATATGTGAACATTTTAGTACTTTGTCACAGTAACATTATTGGTTACTATAAAAACATATTCACATATATTAAGATAATTTTAAACGGGTACAATTTTTTACCTCTGTTGTCATATGTAATAATAATATAATGTATACTAGAAATTGTTATGACCAGATATAAAATTATTACGAATGTACCTATACCTATTATTTCAAGTGACCGCTCTCTACTTTTATTAATTTGAAATAGCAAGTAGGTAAGCTTAAGCTTAAGACGAAAAAGAAATATATATACTATACAATAATATATTTAAGTGTTAACTACTAACTAATACATATAAAATATAACACAATATACCTATATGTATTATTATAGTCGTAATTTGGCATTCCCTCCAGAGTAACACATTAAACAATTAAAACTTTAGCCGTATCAAATCGCGGCTGAAGTAGTTAATATCATCATCCAAAAATATGAAATAATAAATACAATAAAGAAATAAATAAAATTAATAAAAAAAACAATATCATTTTGGAATTGAAGGAATTTGGCACTAACTAATATTTATTAACTGTAAAAGTTAATAAATATTTTCATAAAATACTTACCGCAAATCTTAACTCGCCCACCGGAGATTTGGCATATGGAATACCTCTAAATATGTAAAACTGTTTATCTTCCGACAAAGTACCTTCCAATTTACCCTGCTCTACTTCCACAATAGGACCTGCCATTTTCTTTAATAAAATAGCACGTATTCAAAATGTAAGGATATTTTATTTGTTTATGTATTCTATATTTAAGATATTTATTGGGCTATGATATTACATGAATGTACATGAATACAGTAACTGTACAGTAAAGTACTGAATTGAAACAGCTACGAGTATTTACTATGTAGGCATATAAATAGACATCGAGGCAGAAAACAATTACAAAAGCAAGCTTTTTGAATACCATTCAGTTCGTTGCTCAAAGTTTAAATATGATTCAAGCGATGTACATTCATGTCGCTAGATGGCACTGGATTTATATTATCTCTAACATAATAAATTAATTGTAATAGAAATGGATACTTACTATAAAAACATTCAATTTTCAATAAAGACTATAGGATGGTAAACTTTTGTGATTGAAAAATAATTGTTTGTTGTGTGTGTGTAAGTGAAAGAAAACGTTTCCTAATTAGCAAAGACTGTGTGTTTTAAAGTCGGTTTAAAATAACTATATCTATGGGTAGGATCCTAAAAATAAACATTTCTCCTATCATATTTTAAAAAACAGCTGTTATAAATACAGTATTTATTTTGCAAAGAAGAGCCATCCGCTCCATTTATGGTAAGGATTCTAAGGAGTCTTTGCGACAGTGCTTTAAGAATACAAATATCCTCATAGTTTCTTCTCAATACATTTACAAAAATATTACGTCTACCAGGAAATATTATGACTTTTCCAAAAAAGTTAGCGATTACTCTAATAACTCTTACGTAATAATAAGAGACTGGCCTTACCTTAATGTCTCGTAACTGAGGTCAGTAATTCATTTTATGGCAATTGCGTAAGGTTTTTTTTAATATGATATTTTTATCTTTTTTTAAGGAAAAAAGATAAAAATATCATATTAATAACTTTGCAAAAAAAAGCCTACTATAATTTTAAAGAGTTCATAAATAATAATAATGTTTTTGCGGATAACAAAACTAATTTACAATTTATAGTGCAGCCTATACCTATTATTATCTCATTGCAATAGAGTAGTGCGTAGCGATTTCTATGTTGTCGCATGCCTTCTCCTTGTTATAGTATATTTACTTAGAACAACATTTATTTAATAGAGCAACACGCAGGTTTATAGCTCACTCTAGTCGTGATAAGTCTGCATTCCGAATGAGTGGTGGAATAAAAAAAAATAACTGTTGAAGAGTGTTTATATTTAGTTTATTTGAATAAAGATTGTTCCTATTATAATCGTATTTTTTGTGTTTTATCTTATGTTATATTTATTACTAATTTTCACCATTTATATATAAATCATTTTTGAACTTAGAACCAGAAAAGTGTTTATTCTATTTTTTTCCTGTTTTACTCAAGAATTGTAATACTCCATCGGTGTGGGAGAAGATTATTATACTTAATAATAGCATAGAGAAGTTAATAGGTAATAGGGACTAGTTCTCTGTCCGCTGAACCAATGCAGTTTCCTCTGAGACCATCATGGCTGACTAATGAATTTGCCACGAGGCTGAGTGATTACACACAGTAATGTTATTTGCCATTTTTATGTGTAATTAGAATGGCAAACAAGTTGACGGCCCACCTGATGGTAAATGGTAACCGTCACCTATATATATACGTTATGACACTCATCCTGGGTGCATGAATGTCACAGGATTTCATCACATTCCCGATTGATAAGAAGTCATTGCTCTTATCTCACCCTTATTTAGAAACACAGCCTAAAAAGAAGCACTCGAAGGCTGAATATACAGATGTACCAACATAGAACATTTATTGGAACATCTAACTCGTTCGTTGTCCAAATCCACTGCTATATGGTTAGCACCATAGATTTAGTATCTACCTCTATGGTCAAAATCCTTTATCATAAACTAAAAGATTCATAAACCTATACAACCGCAGCACACTATGTGTATCTATAAAAATTTAAACCGAACTACAATTAGGTACCTACACACCAAAAATGTACAGTGTCTTTGTTTAACTAGAATGATTAACTCTACAGCAAACTAACTCAAATCCTGCTCAGTGAGATAGCCGGATGCGCACCTGTGCGTCCCAGCGCGTCGTGAGAACCGACCACGATTTTAAAAACAACTTTTTTATCCCTTTCTGTGGGAATTACAACTCTAGCTATCCAATGATAAGGTTTATAAATGTAATTACAGACGACTAATTTTATTTGTTTAAGGCTGTATGGTCCATTATACTGATATGCTCTGTTTGTTGTGTTATTTCCTACGCTTTGAGCATCCGCGGCTAATAGCGCATTTTTTGCAATGTGACCATTTATACCGGTGATTACTATGATGTAACAAATAACTAAGTAATATTGCAAAATAAGTTCTTTATTGTAATTAATAAAACATATTATTTTAAATATAAGTATTTATTAGTTATTTTATATTTTTAGTATTACTTCTTATATAGGTACTTATACTATGTGATAATAAATAGGAACATACGTTATAATAAACACTAATATGTCTTATTGAATTAATAAAATATAAATTCGTTAAAAAAGTTAATATCAAAAGGAATAAAATATTAAATTTCTCTATACAATATAATATTTCAAAATAGCTGATAAAGGGAACAAAAACATATTTAAATAGGACTGCGGTTCAATTCAAATATATTTTTTATACAGATTAAACTACTATTTTTTAGTAATTATTTATAAATATTATAAAAGTATTCGTTTACTTAAAAGAATAAATCCTAATAAATAAGTGGTCGCCCTATTGATAATGCACGTGACGAACTCGCAAAATTCAGTTACGCACTTGGTCGTGTGAACCCAATCGCATTTTTTTACATTTTACACACACAAAAAGGCTTTTTATGGCCTTTTGAAACCTCTTTTTCAATACCTTTATTTGCACAGTGCGTTGCGTGAAAATTCAATTTATCCCACGCTTTTAATACAATTATATATAAAACTAGCAAGTTTTGAATATTCTTCACTTTTTTAATAACATACTCCTATACTTTAAAACGTTTAACGTCACTTATGAGCACTTATGAGTATTTCATATCCTAAATATACGCAGAAGTAGATAATTACCTTTTTTGTGGTGTACTTCATACCAATTAGATTTATGGTAGAGTTGTGTGACTGGCCCAGGTAAGTATGTTTGCTTTAGGTATACCGACAATCATATGTGTTGAAACCTTCTATATATGGATAGACCACCTTCTAGATTCATCGTCATTACCAGCAGCACGCACTTAAAATTTTTTGTCATTTTACTTTGTAGTATTTTGAAAGAAAAGAAGTCTCCGAGACACCATATACCCAGATCAGTGTAGGTAGGGATCTATTTTCAATGTTTTTTGGTTTCGATGCTTATGGCGTCGTTAAAATTGTACTCTATCAGGTCAACTTCTAACACTGCCTTGGTTTGCAGTGGAGCTACCATTAGAAACCATCTTGATAGCTTACATTGTCTCGACGACCTCGGTGGTCTAACGGTTTCGCACACCGCTTTACTTCCTATGAACGCGGGTTCAATTCTTCGTACTTATTATTATTTACTCGAAGTAGGTACCTAACTTGAACAATATGCGAATTGATTTTCTGTATAGGTATAGGCCTGATAATTATGGGACCAATGAACGTGTGGGTGGTAATGCGTTTGTGTGAATGCTGCGCGCGCAGGTGTGCCCGAGACTGGCCGGCGCCGGCGCACATTCCAGCAGCGGTCAAAACGGCGCCTTCGATATGAACAAGACTACGCTTGATGACTCCGTGGAGCAGTGTTAAGTGACTAATGCAGAGCGAGCTTGTGGCTTAAGAGTAGCAACAAAGATCTTGGGATTTCAGACTCCTAGACTCGGTTTTCTCGGGGAAAAGAGAACTTTTAGTATTTGGGATGACTTAATGTAATCTTACCTCACCTCTTTAAACTCCACTGGTGCTTCCTCAGTGAATAACGTTAGGTCGTCGAGTGCCCAATTCCATTATCATCCCTAAAAAAAGAAAAATAGTTTTATTATAGCGCCCCACACCACTATTAAAATTCACCACCGTCATCCATAAAAGTAAAAGTATTTTTATGATCCAGGGGCATTTAAAGAAATAAAATGGACAGACAGATATCATAAATATATCTTAATATTGATAAAGTAAGAAAATCTAGGACATAAGTAGTCAAGTAATCACGTATTTAATGCTGGTCAAGCATTATTAGCATCACACTTTCTTGTCATTTATTATTATATTTCACCCAATTTACATAATATCTTTTTAAATTATAGTCTATGTGCTATTCTGATGCGTAACCTATATTATTCTACAATTTCGTCAAACGCCGTTTAATAGTTTTTCCGTGAAATAGTAACAAACATACATCCATACCTACACACTTTCGCATTTATTATATCACTAGCCCCTGTTTTGCCCGTATGTACACGTATTATATATATAAACCTGCCTCTAGAATCGCTCTATCTATTAAAAAAACCGCTTCAAAAACCCCGTTGCGTAGTTTTAAACACATACATAGAGACAGGCAGCGACAGCGACTTTATTTTATACTAGCTGAATTTAATTAAATTTTTCTAAAACAAAAGAATGTTTCAAATATAATTTTTTTATTACATCAGCTAACTTACAATAAAAGTCCCGTCAAAATTGGTCCAGCCATTATAGAGATTAGCCGGAAAAAAACAGACAGACAGACAAATATTATTTTGTTGTTGGTGTATGTACCGTATTTATATTCATATGCATGTGGTAAAAAACGGTTATTACTATATTACAAACAGACACTCCAATTTTATTTATTATGTACGGTAACGATATTATTTATAATTTTATTTATAAATACATACATATATGCATGTATTTATGTTTGATACATATTATATATAGACTATGTAATGATAATTATAGTAAGAAAATTTAGTTACTACCATTTTATTTCTAATTATTTTTTTTATCAAACAGCGTCCTCTATAGATTTAAGTATGTACTTTTTATCTTTGTCTATTTAAATCGTATTACGGTATGCCGATTGCTTTACTTTGGTGTAAATACTTAGTACTACTACTTGTCACTAGATGTCAGTACCTATAGTAATTTAATGATCCAAAATAGCACGGAATTAAGAAATAATGAAAAAAACTATTTACTAAAATAATATAACCAAAAAACTTTCGACTAAAAAATATATTTTTTTTGGATTCAAAATAAACAGATATGTAATAAATATAGGCAACACTGTGAACACATGTTGAAACTGATTCAGTCAACTCAATCTTCATATCAGTTCAGTCCGTCTGTCTTGTCTTTTTTCTAACCAAAGATCCTTACAGTTCGCACGCTGCCCCGGTCTCGAACAAATTAGAATATTCTAGATTTCGAATACATTGAGACATTCCAAGATTAACTTTCTTTTGTTTCTTCCGATTTTCCATATAAATACAAAATGGCTAACGCAGTGAAACGTCTTATTCCTCTGCTTGACCGCGTTTTAATAAAAAGGGCTGAAGCTGTCACGAAAACTGCTGGGGGTATCGTGATTCCAGAAAAGGCACAATCCAAAATACTTCATGGAGAAGTTGTCGCTGTCGGCCCTGGATCTAGAAAAGAAAACGGCGAATTTGTTCCAGTACTAGTGAAAGTGGGTGACAAAGTGCTACTTCCCGAATACGGCGGCACAAAAGTTAACCTAGACAATGACGAGAAAGAATACCATCTCTTCAGAGAAGCTGACATACTGGCGAAAATAGAAAACTGATTTCTCAATTAATTTTAATTTTGTGATTCTGATACTGTTAGTCATTTAGAAGTTGTAGTGAATGAATAAATGATATGATTGTGTAATACTTGGATGCGGTTGCATTGAGACGTTATCTCCGTTGCATTTCTTATTATAATATTGTTATTAAATTGCTTATTATTTACACATCCTCATAAGCAAATCCCATCATATGAATTTTTTTATAGTTAATAATGTATTTTTATTAACAATATACTATTCAGATTCTTTATCATCTGATCTCAACTTGATCAAGTTAGCTTATGGTAATATGCAGAGGAAATATTTTTTAGGCACTTAGTGAATCTATATACTTGGCTAGTTAAATTTTAAGATTGTTGTCAGTCTCAATATTTTTTAAACTTGTTTATCATTACAGTGCAATTTATCTTAATTCTCAGGCCCAGCTTCAGAAAGTTCCCGTATTGGTTTGTTTCATATGACAGACAATAATAATAATAATACAAAAAAGAAAAAAATATGTAAATAATTTATTGTTCATTGAATATACTGGCATTATCATTATTCTCCATCACTATTTTACATTATAACATGGGTAATTTTAATTTTATAATCACAATATAGTGAGTCTAAAATCACAGTACATTAGTACATATGCAAGCTGTAAATAAATATCTATTAGATATTATCTAGTAGTGGCAAGTAAGTTGCAATATCGATTATCTTAATTAGCCATAAACTTTTAGGTGATCTTATTTATATTTTACAAATATTACAATCTGCAAGCAAAAATTGATTTTATTGATGATTAAATTGAAAATATCCATTAGTTTAATATTTAAATGGACAATTCTAGAATTCATCTCAATACTACTTATTGATTGCTCTTAATATATATATATATACAATAATATAACACAATGTTGTCTAGTTGCAAATTAAGCAAAGCTTGTACTATGTGTAATAATACTTAGGTTGTTTTTTTTTAATTAATACATAATAGACATGTTTGTATATGTAAGGATAGACCCTGCAACTATGAAAATAAGGTGGTGTGTAATGCCACTACACCAGCAAGGTTATTTATAAACAGTTAATTTACAAATCCATCATTAATGACATTAGTTTTACAAAGCATAGATATTGTGATTTCTAATATTAAAAGCTGTAAAATCTTAATTGTTATATTGTTCATAAGAATTAAGATTTTACAACTTTTAATAATGTTTCATATTGCATGGTTAAAGTACAGTTCAATTATGCTGTGATTTATTGTTTGTATGCAAAACTTCTTTTATAAGGTGTTATGTGAGCAACATGTGTGTTATTCCTACTAGTAAAAACCTTTACAATTTAATAATTACTGAAATGCATATTTTTGGGCCTACAGAAGAAGCTTAATAAATAAACACTGTCCTTACAATCTATACAATTTTAAAAATACTGTAGTCTTTCTATGAAACAAAGAACTTACTTGACAGCAATGTATTATACAAAATATATTTTATGGCTAAGCATTTATAGTTAAACATGTCTGGTAATATGAAGTGCTGTATTTAAAAATAAATAATTATCTACACAGCATAAAATAAGCAATAATTTTAATATATTGAAATACTGTTAATTTGTATTAAAATCTGCTTATAATAAATCAAAGGTACACAAACATGGCATATCATTACATTAACAAAATGCATAACTATTGTAAAGATATGGCGGTACGCCTTACTGCAGCAGATAGTGCTGGATTTGGATCTGGAGGTTCTGTTAACAATTGAACAGTAGTCCAACAGCCATCTTCATTTGATTGACGTAAAGCTTCCATGATAGCTTGTACTCGTTGTCCATCCTCAAATGTCGCTGCTGCTCTCACAGGCTCCTTGACCCAATCCATCTGCTCTTTTACAGGTAAAAATGCCTCTTTCAGTGCACTTATCATTTTACAAAGACCCTTGACATATGGTTTTGGAATAACACTAGATGCACAACTCAAATCCTCAACATCAACATAAATTACATCTTCATCATGTGGTCTCTTTCCTTCATCATCTAAGTAACTTTTATTAGTAGCCTTGTGTAATCTTCCGTGTAAGTCACCTCCTCTTACAACCAGATAGCCCCGTTTACTGCATACATATATTTCTTGGTTGAAACAAGGGCCTGGCAAATGATTATTTAATGTTGCTGTGACCAACAATCCTTTTTCCATTTGTAATTGGAATGTACAAAAATCTGGAGCTGATATTTTTCTTATGCCATTTACCTTAGGTGTCTCTTCTACAAACGTCCGTAACACACCATGCACTTTCACAACCTTCTGACCTGTAAGGAATGACACTAAGTCTATCACATGGCTCCCAACTAAAGTTAATGTACCTCCTCCCATTGTATCATCACACAACCAATTATAGCTCTCCCCAATTAGTGGTCCCATTTGTACACGCACATCTATTAATGTTAGTTCTTCGGGGTCGCCTAGATAGCCTTCTTGAATACTCTTCCTCATATGGCTGAATGCTGGCAAGAATCTAAGTGAATGATTCACTATTGAAATTAATGTGGGGTAGTATTGTGCAGCACGAACCATTTTCAGAGCCTCTGCTTGACACAGACCGGCAGGTTTATCACAAACGACATGCTTCCCGATACCAAGAGCTTTCACAGATATCTGAGCATGCAAATTTGGTGCACAAACTATAAATACGAGGTTGACATTTTTCTTCAAAAGAACATCGTCTATTTTGTTTGTGAAGAACGGAATTTTGAGTTCTTTTGCTATAGCTTCTGTTTCTTGTAGCGTTACTCCCCATATCGCTTCGACTGAGAACCCTTTATCTCGTAGGAATGGTACTAAAATCTTAGCCACAGCTCCAGTACCAAACACACCTATTCCTGGTAACATTTTATACGTATCGTTTTCATTTAAATTTTATTATGATAAACCATATTGGCCACAAAAAAAAAATTGTAGGTACACATTAATGTGAAGTTAATTAACTAAAACCAAAAACCATTCCATAATTGTGTAAATTGTCAATATAATATGAATTATTTTGTTACAAGTTTAGTTTCCTTTTTAGAAGTTACTGGAAGTCTTGAACATACTTATTGTGTTTATTAATTTATTCAGATTTATTGAATTACATATGTCATATATTATATTGTCTCGATTCTAGATTTCTGACTTTTGTTTGTGTTTGACGGTGACGTTTGAGTAGTTTGTAGAACTGTCAGACAGATCTGAAAGCGACACATCTTTTTATTCATCAATGGCCTCTGTCATATCTGAATTGTGATAGAACAATAATCTGATTATATAAATCCACTCCATCATCCATTCGAGCTTGGTATTGAACTAAAATTTTAACACTAACAAATTTAAATACTCCGGTTTTCTTTCATCGAAATAGTTATGATCCGAAAAAATTAAAATGGAACGTACAATTATTGTTGATCTGTTTCACGCAGAGAATTATATAAATATAAATAAAGAGCTGACAGAGGGCGAGAAAATTTATTCAGTAACCTTAAACAAACATCTTTTATGAATTTGATATTTATTTAATAAAAATGGAAGTAATATGAATTTATACTACAGTAACTGTTATGCCCGACTATGTCTGGTTTTTGGTGCTGACATTTCTGTCTGTGATACATCTTGTAAATTTCATTAAGATCCGTGCAGCCGTTCATTCTTGATGGATAACAAACAGACAGACAAAAACTTTTGCATTTGTATAGGCTAGAAACATATTACATACTAGATGAAAATAAGATACTAAGGTTATGTTTGTATTTAAGACCAAGGTATACTGTAAAAAGTTGTCTGCCACCTCAATCTCACCCATTTCAGTCATCACGCAGCTTGCTTTGTAAATTGTATTTTGGTAGCATGGTGAAATAATTCAGTGATATTATATATTACTACAACGATTTTTTCTGACTACTGCAATGCTGTCGGCCGCAGTTGATTGAACAGCTTCACCGGATGATAGAGGGCGAGTGCAGATGGCACTCCAAACCCACACTTATGGAGCGGCTAAACTCTAGCCTAACGGATTTGACTTTAGTCTGAGGGCACCACTAGGCGTTCGTATCTCGGCTCAGTCCATCATAATATTGATCCCCGTTTGAATTGTACAAGGGTTCGATCGGAGAATAAAATAGTATAATTTCTCAGTATTACGTCCTTTTCGGGCTATTGGTTAGATATGGAAAAAGAAAAAGGTATCATAAAGAAAAATAAAATAGTACTGCTGTATTTTTTTAATGTGCTAAAGGTTTACGCTGGCTAGTGGAGGATGATAAGATGAGCAGCAGCAGGTCAGCTCAGCTAGCCCATCGTGACAAAGTTATTAGAAATTTATAACGATGGTTTTCTGAGAAAACCGTGTAGAGTTCAACCTGAGTAACCTGATATGGTGCATTGCTAGCAATAGGGCTTTCAGTCCACATTACTAAAAGAAACATGCAACTTTTACCTAAATTCTTTGAAAAATTAGGCAGTTAGAAATGCATTCTGTGAAACCGTTTAAAAAATAATGTAGTAATGATAATGGAGGTTGGAGACTAAACATCAATAAACCATTACAGAAACATTTTTGAATATGTGCCTACTTAGTTGTAGTATTCATGTAAATGGAACAAAGAATAACATTTGTAGAGAAAACAGCGAGCATCGTAAGTCATACTACTCGATGGCGCTTAAAACGAATCGCTTTTCGTCGGGGCGGTTAAATTCAATGCTTTGATATCTGCCACCTGGATGCTTTAGGGTTGTCAATGTGTAATAAAATAAATTGTACCTTGTAATATATTTATTTTAATTGGAATTCCAAAATTGAAGAGAGTGTTTTTTAGTCATAATTATTAATTATTGTACTAAAATAAAAATTCAGTTCTTTATTATCAATCTAAAACATAACTATTGTGATTATTTGTTTAATAAGTACCTAAACGTATTCCCCTTTTTTCTTTATGGATAATAACAAAAATATTAGATTCGATATTTTTCCATAAAAAATATTTATTTATTTAGGGAAATAAATATCTATTATTATTCATGTTAATGATAAATATTTACTAGCAATACTTATTATTAACATGTTTGATAGCAAAAAATGGAACATTTTTTGTTATGTTAATTATTTAAAAAAGTATAGGTAATAGGTATATATATCTAAGGCTACCAATATCACGAAATTTAAACTTTTCAATCAGAACAGTCAAACGTCGCAACAATTGAATTTACAATTTAAAAGAAATTCGTAGAGGCATTGTCAAACGCCTTTCTATTATTTTTAAACTAAAGTTTTAGAGGACCAAACTTGGGAATACGAGTTTACTCTTTCCGCAGATTTTTGTAAGTATATAATCAGACTTAGCTACATTTGCCCTTTTGCTCTCTATGTGGCAGGGCAACATGTACGGGTATACCTGCCATTAAAAGGTGATCATTCAACCGCTCAGGGGTTCAAGGCATAGCACTACTAGATTCTGAGAGATAGCACTATAATTGTCATCTACCTATTCTTTAAATATTTTGACGGTCGCGTTTCCTCTTAATGCTCAGTAAAAATTGCAAAAAGAATGCAAAAGATCTGTTGTTTTTGAAAATGTTCACCGAATATCGGCGTCTGACTTTGTTACAATATATATTGTGACGACGGTCTAATATACATACTCCTAAATACACCGATCAAAAACTTGAAAAGTGTAACATCTTGACGACAACAACATAATAATTTCTTAACTTTTTAGAGAAATTCAGCTTTAGGTATGTCCAAAAACGGCGTTAGATAAAGCGGTAGTTTTCAATGCTTAAAATATCAATATTCCTCGTTGCTCTTTTAAGTGGCTTGTGCCATGTGGATAGACTCTCCTTGAAATGACTAATGTGTCAACCCTACTCGGATCCTATTTGCAGCAATCCGTCCTAACACCTCTCTCAAATCTGAGACGGTATGTACTTGATCACCTCCACAATTAGGGCTGACTGGTGAGTTTAAACAATCTTAAATCTACATGGTATTTAAACTGCAATTAAAATTTAACTATTTCACACCTATAAGCTACCATGTACAGGTTGAAATATTAGATTATTTTATTATTATAAATTTCATAAGAAATGTACTTAATTCAAATAAAAATATGTTTATGTACCCATGTGATTTATATATTAAAAAAAACTCGTATTCATCACGCTGCGAGAAATAGTAGGTAATAACAAAGACCAATACAATAGTGTAGCTATGTATACCTAATTATAATTATTGTGTTTTCAAAAGGAGGATTGAAACTGCTTCTCTTACAGACAATCTGAGTCATAAACATACTCAGATTATCCGCTTACCATCAGATAAGCCGTCGGCTTCCCAATTACATGAAGAAGACCTCACTTATGTATAAAAATGATAAAATATATCATATAAATATATTTTCACATTTACTGAAAATATATTTATATGGATATAAATAAGAATGTATAAAGGTCGGTCGAATGTTAAGCTTGAAATGTCGTGAGACAGGGCGCGTAGCACGTGTGCATCAGAACTTAAAGTATTAAGTGTCGCGGAAGTGCCCTATGCGCGGCTCTGTCAATCTTTTTGTTCCTCTCTGACGACACTAATTGCTTTACACTTTTGTTTACCGAAAGAAGTGGATTATTTTTTATCATTATACCTAATTAATGCCCGCCAGCGGTTCACGAATAAACTCGATTAGAGTGTTCAGGAAAAAGATAATTTTAAATGCGAGTGTTGATGGGGTTTTGCCTAGTGCTTATAATGTCCCTGGACAGTGGTGATTATTTAGATACCATAAACCATCTGTACCTTTATATTTGTATAAAAAATATACTAGTCACATTAATAAGATGTCTATGATGATCTACATGATACAGTACATCTAAATACGACGAACAGTACAATATCATCTAATAACAAATAAACATAGGAATGTTTCATATTAATCACTAGCTGTGCATGCGGTTTCACTTGCGTGACATTTATCTATAGTATATGTGTTAATCTGATTAAATATAATAATGTAAAGTTTCATTACAATTCAGTACAGTACAGTAGTTTTTGCGTGAAAGAGTAACAAACAGCCATCCATCTATACTCACAAACTTCCACGTTTATAATATTAGTAAAATATTTTTTTCTGTAATTTACAAAGGTACATTGTTTCAATTATAATTTACTCACTATATCATATAATTTGTTTATAATAACATAAATTAAGAAATTAATCAGCTATAACTTAATAATTTTCAGTATTCCTTAACATATAAAAATTACAAAAACAAACCATTTCTGACTGTAAAAAATGTTGCTCTTTCATATATTATGGGCATTGAATTCCTGAATATGACAGTAAAGTATATATTTTCATTAGATGTGAGTTCTCATTTGTCGGAGGATAATCCTGGACGTTGGGGTGGGGCATTGTGGAGCGCCGCCCAACATTATGTCTGCGCCGCCCTGCGTTTACGCATCATACGACACAAGGCGATAGAGCGTAGTGGATATCCAAATTTTTTTCAAATCTACAATGATTTCTAAATAATATTTCAAAATGTGGTAAATATAATGAGTATTCTGAGGTTTGTGAAATATTTTTTGTGCAATAATAAAAATTATATAAAATGCCAAGAAAACGTGTGAACAGATCGCCGCCGGTGGACAAACGTGCTGACGATGCGGATGATGATGATTTTTTTTTCGATGATACGCAATCAAATTCAGGTCAGTATATAGGTTTTTCTTTTATATTAGGTTTTCTATTACGACCGTCGTAGGTATGCATTAAACTATTATACTTATCGTCTCGGGTCTGTTTTTAATTTCAAATTAATAACTTTTCACTAAATGTTATATCAAAAACACTTTCTAAAAAAATATCTGTCTGTTTGTTCTTGGTAATCTCTGAAACCGATTTTGACGGAACGCACGCGCGTATTTAGTCACTTAGTTAATGTTACAATGGATAACTTAGACTACTTTTATTCTAGAAATTTTATATAACAAATAAAGTTAAATTTCACGCGGCAGAAGTTGCGGGGAACAGCTAGTTGTAAATAAGTCTATTTATTTCATTGCACTGTTAAACTAATGAACGGATCTTAATGAAATTAGGCATGGATAGGTATATCAGAAGGTCAGGGCGGGGAAGCGGAAGAATGACTCTGTTCCCGCGACCTCGCCCGCCACGGGCTGAGAGGTATACCATCAGGTTTTTAGCCGGTAGGAGTCCGGCAGTACCCATTCGCTCCCTATGGCGAATGGGTCTCCATGACGGATTTTCCTGATGTAAAAAAAAAAAAAGGTATATCAGAAGGCCGAACTAGGTTGTACACCAACTTTACATAAAAATGAAGACAAATTCATCGTAGAAATCAAGGAAGTTACCTACTTATTACAAACGCAAAAATGCTTATCTTTCTGTATTTTTTCATGATTGAATGGATCTTGATGAAATTTTATGTGACGATCTGGAAATGGATTATATTTTAGTAGCGGTTTAGATTTTTTATAATATTTTTCATTTTTACTATAAGTTTTACCCGCAATCAATTATAAAAAAAAACTGATAGGTGTCTCTAATTGTTCAGACTTACATGAAGGTCTTGCACACGTTAAGGGAAATTCATTCAAATTAAAAAATATATTACCGTACATACATTATACCGTTATTTTATATTCCTAAACAAATAAAATAATGCTGTACCTCATATCTATGTAATAATGCTCAACACCAAATACTCCATTCATGATGCGAGTGGCTGAGAATATAATTTTACGTATAAGGTTTATAGAATCAAAATATAATAGAAGGTAATAATATATTCCCACAATTGTTTTGATCAATACCGTGAGTCTTTGTCTACGGCTTACGTATTACAAGTTTAAATATAAGTATATATATACATCTTTTATCTTCTTTTCATTTATTTTTTTATATTTTCTTTTATTTTTTTATAATAAAATTTTGATAAGGGGGAACTGTCCGTATGTCTCTTTGTATATGAATGTTACAAGTAAAAAGGGCTTCATGAATTATAATAAAATTTTCTCAGAATATGTTGTTAAATATGTCCATAGGTACAATAATTAATATTGTGAAATTACTCAAGCCGTTTTCTAAAATTGTTAATTAGTTCTTTAATTAAATAATATATTTCGTCGTATGGCTGATTTATTCATTGTCGTGGTTTGATTACCATCAATATATAGCGATTTTGAAATGTACTTACACGCGTATGAAGTCTGCTGTATAGTGAAATATGAAAGTGCAACAAATCACGGAATTGCAATAAATAACATTAAAAGCGCAACAACATCTAAAGTTCGTAATGTTCATGTATAATTAAAATATGAAGATACGAAAGATTAGTACCTTGAAAAATTATTTCATTAAGTAATTTTTTTGTAATTCTTTTAAGTAGGTAGTATATTATTATTAATGTGCAATATAATTATTATTTCCAATAGGCTTTCACACCCATAACAAAAGATGTTTTTTATAACAATTTACTAACATGCCATCTACCTATATTCTTTTGTTCACAATGATGATGATCATGAATTATTTAAATTATTTAACCAAAAAAGTAGTAATAGTGCAACCTATATTTAAAAAAGGAATAACTTAGGCATAATAATAACAGAAATCTATATGATTTTGACATGTAACAACCAGTTTTCTCTATTATATTTTTTTTAATTAAAGTAAAATTAATTATATTTGTTTTAATGATTACTGTTGTCATTATTTTCTTTTCTGTCGTAGGCCGAGGTACACATGAGCCACAACATAGGAATGCAGCAAATGCACGGGAAAGAGCCAGAATGCGAGTGTTGTCTAAAGCTTTCTGCAGGTATATATTCAAATTAATCTAAATCTACTATAATAAAATACTATCTCCTAAAACATGTTCTATTAGGATTCATGAAAACAAATTTTAGCTATAAAACTGTTACTTAATATACTGTTACTGTTCATTAATCAAGAGAATATGAACAAATCACGTAATATTAAATGAAATAGGCTTATTGGATGTTTCTGTTAAATTGCAATCCACGCATTCTAAAACTGTTTGACAGATTTTTTTACCGATGCATTACAAATCTTTGAATTTCCCGGTTTGTTTTACAAAAGCATAATATATACATATAAACCATCCTCTTCTATTGCTGAAAATGGCATTAAAATCCGTTGCGTAATACAGAAGATATAAGCGAACAAACAGCGGCAGCAACTTTGAGATTAGGTATTGGCTATCAGTAACCTGCATTAGTTTTCATACAGTTTATCTGTATTGTTATCGTTAAGATTAAATCTTAAAAAATAAAAATATTTTATATTCTGCACACCTGTCTTTAAATGGACTATGAAGAAAGTCGTTTCAAATCCATAAACACAAAAGAATTTGCTCTGTTTGGCAAACATTATTTTCTACTAATACATTAACAAACAGTAAACAAGAAAAGTAAATAAGTAATTAATAATAATATTAATAATTTTATTTATTTATCAAAGGCTAAAGACAACGCTGCCTTGGGTGCCAGCGGACACGAAATTATCGAAGTTAGATACCTTGCGCTTGGCTGCATCATACATTGCACACCTTCGGGCCCTTCTTCATGAGCCCCGGTCTGCTCATACACCGCCACATCCACTTAGTTTGGTTAGTATACAGAGGAATTGTCAACCAGTGATGTCGTAACAAACTCAACTCTTGTCTTATCCACATTGCTCTGGATATTAGACTCTAATCTAGCTAGGAGTGAATCCACTGTGGCGGTAACTTACTATATGCACAGATAACAACCAATATATACATTATTTATATTAACCGAGTCTTAACATGAATAATTTTATGGTAAATAAAGGTCTCTCGACATTTCGACTAGGTTGCACTAGCAGTGGTCTCGAGCTGACTCAGTGTTAGCTCGGGACCACTGCTAGTGCGGATATGCTTTATTTGCCATAAAATTATTCGTGGTATGACCCACTTAATAATATAAATAATGTATATTAAATACGAAAGTTTAAAACAACTTATTACTGTATATAATGTATGGCTCAGTAACTTTGTATGTATATTTATAATTTTGGCTGACTCTCCGGCGGAAGAAACAGAGAAAAATGAGACGGATCAAAACGTAGAGATGGCGCCAGTGAAGGCTCACCCACTGCACTTTTGTTCCAATATCCCTTTAGAAATGTGTGCCTTCAAGTGTCGTGTTCACCATGATGACTGTTGAGACTGCCTAAGACTACCCCATCTAGAGTAACAGTAGTGGTTATTTTGTTTATGACTTCATTTATTCCTTACATTTCTGAAAAAAATGTGTTTCACCTATTATTTATGTATTTGTAATGGTCATCCAACAAATACTTCATTATGTGATGCCCATGATTCCCTTTATGTGAAGGTATGATGCTTCCGTACTCTGTAATTTCACTCTATATCTCACCCTCAAACCGAAACGGTTAACAAGGAAACTACTTGGCGGCAGAAATTTATGAGACAGAAGTACCGCAAATGACTTTGTGTAAAATCTAACTTTAATGTACTTCTGTATTTAAGTTCGTGTAAGTGTATATCATTTAAACATATGTTTACTTTCTTGTAGTCGGAGTATCGAAGTATCGAATCTAATACATTTTACAATTTGTCTTGATTCATGTAGGTATTATATTTATTTAGTATCTTTGTAGTTACCAATGATTACTTATTAATCAACAACCCAAACCTATTAAATGTCACTCAATTCCCAACAAGCTCGCGACATAAAAACAACGCCCATATGTCACGCAACTCGCTAATAGTTTACGATTTATCCTCTGTCGGAGTTGTCATCCACTTAATTAATTTGGATCGGCACGAGCGTTTCGAATTCTATCCAAACCCAAACCGCAATGAATCAGTTGTTTCGGTTGCCAAACGCCACCGAACACTTTCATCGCAAGAATCCGGAGGATTATGAACACGTTCCACGAAGGCCCGCGATTTGATCGATGTTAAGATTAGTGTTGCCATAAGTCTGAACATGTCTTTGAAATACGGTTAGTTTTGAAAATCGAACAGTTATTTGTCGTTTTTATTCCTTGTCATTTGATAAGTACTATACACGTATTTTCTAGATGTTTTCAGATTAGTATTTAAGTAGTTAAAAATCTTTTAAAAGAAATGGCTCTCAGTTTTACTACTTTTTTGCTGTGAGTGTAAATTTTTAAATCGCTATAGTTACTAAACGAAAAAAATACCTGTTATGGTTCATCGGAAATGTAGAATTTAAATGACTCTCGTTTAAATGCGTATTTTTTGTATTTTTGCTGTGCACAGAAATATTGCACAGTATTCTCGTATGTACGAGATTATAAAATTCTCTATATAATTCTTTAAAAACTAAAATAAGAATCAATATTTAGTTTTGTAATAGACAGAATTTATTTTCATGGTTTTCTCTCGTATTACTTTTGTCCGGATAGGTAGTTACATTAATTGTATAAATTTATCGATTTCTTAATATTCTTATTTTTTAGTAGTCACCGTGTGTGTTCCCCGGACACTTAAAAAATAAACATATTTTTCGTCATAAAAATAACGATCACTCTTGCTATTCTTTTGTACAAACGTAAACGAATCCAAATATCGTCTTAGAACTGAAGAAGATAGGAACAAAAAAAAGTTATAACAACAAACACTTTAACGCTGACCAAAAGTTTGCAGCTGTTACGTGTATAAATAAAGTTTATCTCCGGACGTAAAATATGCTCCCGTTTTATTGTTCTTCTCGACTTTGTCTTGTTTATTGTTTAATTATAAATGTTATAGAGAAATAAAAAATGTAGTACCCTACAAAATGACGTAGTGTAGTGTAGTAGTGTAGTAATGAAAAAATGTAGTACTGTACTAACCTTGTGAAGATTGACTAACTCATGTCACACTTTTAATGCATCGGCCACAGACAATTTTCACTTCTGCAATTAAGCATATAGTAGTACATATCACATGAGATTTTAAATCAGAACACATAAATAATACTATCCACATGTTTATATATTTTGAAAAGACAGTTTCACTATCACAAAGGTTGCGAAATTATTTATTTACTACTCTTTTACTTACTACTAGTACTATTTAACAAGCGTTTTTTAATACCGCAACGGTGGTAAGCAAGCGGTGCATACAGCCCGACCAATGCAAATAGGCTCCGTTGTTTCTAAACAAAGGCATGATATTCGCCCTACTTAGGTATAGTCTTATTTAGTTATTCATATTTAACTTAAAGAGGCAAAACAGATATGCAAAGATACGGATATATCTAAAGAGGACAAATAGACATGATAATATAAGGTTTTCGTCTTGATCATTTCGCTACGAAACTCTAAAAATACTAAAATCTTATATTGCAGTATACAAACATGTGCGTCCCAAAGTCTCGTAGTGTTTGTTCGGACATAAAAAATGCGGTCAAATTTATGTATGTTGGCAATAAATAGAGAATTTCACACTTGACGCTATTTGGGAGGTCTCATTTAAAAAATGCGACTTAATGGTATACAAGATATATAACTTACTAACATTAAATTAATCTGTATTCTTAATATTGAACAGTTATTTGTTGGGTTCGAATTATTAGTATATATCTAAGTTTGTATAAAATATTATATATACGTACATACCTACCTACTAAGTACATGAAGTATCGAAATTTGTATTACCAATACCTATACATGGTTTATTGTTGCAGGCGTGGCCCTTCGCTTTCCAACACGGCGGCAGTCTCAGCTGTTCCGTATCACAAAGATGGAACGTAAACGCACAAGCAAACGAAAATGCAAACAATCGCAATAACATACCACAAAGAGATATTCAAAATGAAGGTTCCATTGAAAATTACGGTCAGGAATATTGTGATAATGATTACGACGACCGATGCTACGAAGACTTGACGAACGAATCATGCACGCCGTTGCAATATTGCGAGTATGGATACAAGGATAATTATTATGAAATGAGAAATTATACTACCGAAAACCTTATAAATAATGTATAAATTGATACTAGAATATATTATTGGTATATTAACTTCGATTGTTATCACAGATCAGTATGTCAGGGTCAAGATTCCACTGGTAGCGGTCCAACGATAGCCGAGTACACTGAGATAAAATCCTTATAGACCGAGTATATCAATCGGTTTCCCTTATACAAAATAAGAGAGTAATGCGTGAAGAAATCATTATTATATATTTTAAAATAAAACAGGAAGTAAATACATACTAATATTATAAATGTGAAAGTATGTAGGTCTTATGGTCCTATCCTCTCTATGTTTCTTATCTTTTTACGACTAAACGCCGTAGCGGATATTAATGAAATTCAATGTGAAGATAGGCTAACTTTTTTTTTTCTTAAAAACAATCTTCAATTCAAACAAACAATCAAGGGCTAGAAGAATGTATAGACAAAATCACGGGTTCCAGTTAATAAGGTTATTGAGAGTCCATGCATATTATGATAAACTGAAAAGTATATTCCGTGTCTATTCACGGACACACACACTATTGTTGTACATGCAAAGAAATTAGCAAATAGAAATTATCAGTTTCATATTGAAATATTGAACTTGATTAACGACGAAAATATTTATAAATCGATTAGTCTTTCTGGAGATTTTGTCTTCTTTCTTAGATAAAAGACTGCAAAGATCTCCGTCATCCTGATACAAACTATCTTTGCGCCAAATTTAATTAAGATCTATTCAGCAGTTTAGTCGTGAAAGCAGAAACAGAACATGTTTTAGAATTTATGATTATTGACTGATGGAAAATGTAATTTATGACTAAATTCATTTTTACTCCAAAACTATCACCAAATAGTTATTTGATAAAAGGTGCTTGCTATCATCTGCACCATGCTATTGCCCTCTAGTTGCAGAGGTCTACTTATAAATATACTACACATACAAAATCTAAGTTCATTTCAAGTTAATAGCCATCTATAAAACACGTTATACTGATTCCATAATGTATTAAATAACTTTTTTAATTGATGATACCTTCTGCACATTTAGCAGATGAAAGTTGAATTTGTTAAAATTTTCATTATACATTATCAGTCAAAGTAGCGTGATTAAATACTTTGTGATTTTGATTTGTGATGATACGAAATTTAGGACCCCTCCCGTCGACGTCTTGTCACACAACGTCACATTTTACCGATCGATGAAACGTGTGACGTAATTTATACATATCCCTTATTTCAAACTTGTACGCTGTCAAAACGGCAGAAAGCGAACTTGCATAATGTAGTTGTTTAGATTTATACAGTACCTACGCAGGTACAATATTAGTTGCCTTATTAGTTGATTGTCTGACTATAACTTTGGTAATAATTTATTGAGTGATAAATGTCTAAATTTTAGAAATAAATACGTTACGAGATTGTCATCTGAATATATATATTAAGTAGCTTGTAAGATAAAAATATTTAAACCAAAGAATGAGTAATTAAATTGCAAACACGTTTCTGTATTTTATTTGGTCTCAGTTATTTCCTAAAGAACGTAGAACAAATATTAAGAAAAGTTTTTCTATAATTTTCCTTATAATTAAAACTGAATGGTTCTCAGAGGCAAATATGTATAAGGTAAGTACCTACTAAATTAAAATGAGAAACAAAAAGAAATAACCTTGTTCGAAGTTTATTTTAGAAATTGAGATATTATTGTGATCGATCACTTTGCATTCGAATAACAATTTTAGTTGATTGAAAATTAATACTAGCGCTAAGGAAAGTGGTAACTTGATATATCACAAAGTAGTTGTCACTTCGGCAAACCTGACAAAACAAACAAAATATTTGCCGCCGGATAGGAATAAAAAAATATTGCAAGCAAATGAGGCCCACATGATTTTTTTCTTATGCAGAGTTTTTTTTACAAGCGAGAATTTACCTATAACATTAATCTAGTGACTTTGGATAATAATAATGTCCTTTTGGAAACTGTAATACCATAGATGGTGAGCTATCTTTTTAATCAACGGGACAATTAAAGTTTTAAATTTCTTTGGCACATGTTACCATTATTAATACTTTACAAAACTTAATTTATATCTAATGGACATGAAATTCAATTTTAGAAATGCTTGCCGGGCTGCATAAACATAGTAATTGACTTGGAGCATCCTTGATTGTATTTCTGGTGCATATAGGCGACAGTTTCCACCTACCTTTACGCTGGCGGGGGAGATGATAGTGAACATTATCAGGTCAAGTCAGTTAGCACATCTTTGTAAATTCACCAGGAATGTATCACGATGGTTTCCAGGGGGAACCGCGTGGAGGTCAAACTGCATTGGTACATTGCTAGCAATGGTGTCATCAGTCCATTACTAACAATCCCAATCCCCCGATCTCTTGTGTAGTTCTAAATCATATTACTTGGAATAAAATTACTGTATTAACTTTATCAAATTTGAGAAGATGAAAGCATTATTAAGGCATCGGAATCATAACAGTCTAGACAAACTTGTGCAGTCACGATGCAGGTACTAAATCACAAAGTTTCGCAGTCTAATGGTTTTAGGTTTTGATGACAACGAAACCATTATTTCAGATATTATAATTATGTCGAAACTGGTATTATTAAATTAATAGATACCTCTTATTGCTGTAATTTCATATTGTAAATTAGACTTTTGTAATGTGCGATATTTTTAGAATCACAATATACAGACAGTTACAGCTCCAATACTTTATCATTCCTTTATTATGACAGCCTCGGTGGTCTAGCGGTTTAGCACAACACTTTACGACCTATGGTCGCGAGTTCGATTCCTCGCACGGCACAAACATTTGTATTCATGGGTATGATTGTTTATATTCGTCTGGGTATGTTCTATGTATAATATGTACGTGTTTAGAAATATATATATATATATATATATGTATATATGTATATGTATGTATGTATTTGTATCAGTTTTAATACCATAACACAAGCTTTGGCGCTGTGTATATTGTCTTGAGGTTATTATTCCGATCTGGCTACTCTAAGCCCGTGTAGGAATATTTGTATTGTTTATTGGTAACTTGATAGAGTGTATCTATCAAGTCAAGCTTAATGGCCATTCCTTGTAGCATAAATATGTTACGTTACAGTCAAATGTAAATTCTACAATGTTGTTAGGGTATCGTTGGTAATAAGAAAACACTTTAATTAGCCGGTGAAAATTTTATTGTTTTATAAGAATAATATAGCTATGTATTATGCCAGAGCACGCTAAAAAGTATTTTTTTTTTTCAATTATTTACAACAAATCATAAAGTAAAACTTAAGCGAGGCATGTTTTGGTAAAATTTGTTTATAAATAATTAACACTACTGAACTTATAACTAAAGCAAAAGGTGCAGTTAATTATAAATATAACTTAATATGACCGTACAAAATATCTAATATTGCTATATTAATATAAATGTCAACGTACAGTACCTACAGTGATATAAAACACTGATCCATCCATACGTGGAGGTGAGAATATAAAACATTAATTGTACATTATCTAGGAAACATATAATTGCTTATTTGTGGCTTATTTTAAATACTAAATTTTATTAATGCTTTCAATTTCACTAATTGTTTTTTTACCTAATAAACAGTGACGGATGCGGTCAGACCGCACTACTTGAGATATTAAGCCACGCAGGGACATTGACTAAAAATGGGCTTTAATTGCAACTTCGCAAATAAATCTGAAAATTCGCGTATGTGTACATACGGATAAAGGAATTTACTAATTTTATGTTAGAAAATAGCTTAAATAATAAACATATTTTGACACGAATTCGACAGTTGTGTACCAACATAATTATTTACCAACAAGGCATTAATGCTACACACATAAACATACTGTCTTAGGCTAAATGAATTACATTCATGCTCCTTAACACTATATTTAACCCCATACTTTGATTACATCTTGTATGATACGATAAGATAAAGGTAGTATACATTATATTAAAATAATACTATTCTACCATTTTTTTGGTAGTTTCCTAGCTTCGATAAACCTACGCCTACTTAGTGTGAAACATTGGAGGCCGATTCTGAATGTTATGCTGTCGTAAAATTCTCTGTAACTTAAAACTATTAGTTCCCTTTTACATAATGGACCTGGAAAGTAGCACTACGGAATTCGGTGTGCTGTTATAACGACTCCCTAAGTATGCACCAAAAATCTTTAAATTTATTAATGCTTTTCGATTTAATTTAGAATTTACTATTTTCTTTATTAAGTTTATCTTCGTGATTACAACTGACTTCGTGTATGACTCTCCTGACTACATCTTGTTAAACAAATATTTAAAGAATAACATCAAAATCGGCCTCAATATTTATTTTTTATTTATAATTTTCCTTTCAAATGTTAACAATTAGATTAGACTGTTACACTTAATTTTGGTTCAAAATATATAGTAGATATTGTGTTAGAAATCAAGAAAATTGTAAAAATATTCATTGTAGCATACGACGTTTAGAGTTTGCAGTTGTTTAATTATTAATAATAAAGTGATAAGGACATTAATGATATTACAAAATATTGCATACATATTTGTGATTATTGTAGGTTTCCAATAAATAAGTACAGGCAGTATGTAAAGTTGTTTACCCGTTATAATTCACTATATATTACTAATTAAGCATTTATCTAAATGAAAATTATCATTAAAATTTTCATTAATATAGTCCTAGGTATAAAATTGATTCAGGATTTGTTATTCTCTATAATTATAAGTCAAGTTAACAAAGGATGTATATTGCTTATGTAATTAAAGTTCTAACACATTTGAAAGTTAAAAAAGGCGTCAGTGTCATCAATTTTGGGATCAGAAACCAAATAGTGTCAAGGAAAAATTATACGCAGCTATATGCTCAATAGTTTACCAACCATACGGATTCCTTAGAAGTTAATTAAAATATAATATTTTTTACGTTAACTGTATTTTATAACTTTTTAACGTATCTTGTGGGGACTCTCTTTGGGCTACGGCCACTGATTGGACTACAAATATTCCTTTGGGAGATTTGTAATAGCATTTGCTGATGATCACTCTGTTCTCCCTAATTTGAATTTAAAGATGAATCTGTATTTTCGTAAACATCTCATTTTAAAAGAACAATAGTTGAGTTTGTTGTCAGTTAGAACTGACGATAGATTTTACACATCATAAGAGACTATGAATAAAAATATTATGATTTTGATCTGATCGTTAAACTCTTGACATGATGGGCTAACTGACCAGATGTATTTATCATTTTGTCAGTCCCCGCGAGCATAGGCGGGTGCAACAATCTTTAATTATATGTTAGAATACTATTACTTGGTAAACTATCAATTGTATGGCTACATCTTGGTTATATTGTAAGAAAACATAGTTATGTGCCCAACGAATTCTAATAAATCCCGAAAATAAACGACTTTGATATTTTCTAACGAAAGTGAAATCTATGGTCATTCATTCTTTGTCTTTATATGTAGGTACTTATATAGTAAAGATAATACAGTCATACATGTATTTTCAATGTATCTATATATATGCAAATTAGCAAGAGGTGAAAAAAGATTGAGATATAAAAATGCAGTTCTGACAATATGTAAGTATAAAAAGTTTAAACAGAATTAAATGAAAGAATTCCTTGCAATAATAAAGTACAATGCACTCCATGAAAGTTCAACCATTTTACAACAATTACCAATTATAAATGGTCTCAGTAGATAATTCAACTTCAGCTCTTAAACTCAAAAGAGTATATAAATATATATATATATTGCAACAAATCGACCGATTACATATTGATTCAAGGTATCATTGATTACTTGTTTATTAGGAGATGTGTTTGACAATTGCAATATTTATCTAGAAATCCCGACTTACGGTTACAGAAGTCCTTCGAGAAACCCAATAAACAACTTAATTTAGATTTTAGAACAACATATACACAGCTTTAAATGGGTACACAATTATATACTAAACTACTCATTGAAAATACAGCGTACGTAAATATACATCTGTCTCAACACCGAGACGACTACTTAAATTGTGATGATTATCATTTATTGTAATTATTATAATTGAATAAAATAAACGTGACATTAATTTACTACGATATAAATTCCATAATTCATTAAAGCCAGTAGTCCAGAGTATTCACACTATGCTAAAATACACTCTTACAGTGCGAAATAATTTATTGCATTGCGTAATTATTATCCTATGTCTCTCAACAGCTAACAACTCAGTAACAGCCATAGAGTAAGTAGCAGACATACATTTTTTTTAAATTCATGTCAACGGCCACTGTAGTGGAAGCGGCCATTAACTAAAGTAAATTCAGCCTAAATTAAGAGCTAATGTAAAGTGATCGTGAAGACATCTTAATGGCAATATCATATTTAAATACAAGAAAATTATTAAGACCTTACATACCCGAAGTTCAACTCCAGTGACCAGCACTGTATAAATCTTATTAGTATTAATTAAGCAAAAATACATTATTAGAGAAGGTAAGCATATATGTAAACAAAACATATATGTCAATTCACCCATAATAATAAATATATAATCCTAAATGATTAATATTGACCTTTAGTCGTCGGTGGTAAAATACAGATTAGTTAAAGACACATAACATACGATACTTTTAGCAACTGCACTGAATTTATTTACTTTAAATTTTGCAATGTATATGAACAAAGTCGAGAGAAGGTCAAGACCGTATTTGAATATCAGTGCAATATAATGTACCTAATGCAATTAATGAAACGATAAATGATGATATACGAACAATAGGTAAAATACACTACCAATGCAATATAACCATTAAAACTTCGACCCAACCGCCAAATTAGTAAATTCGGATGTTAAAAGTATCGTCAGCGCAAACAGCCTTAATGTCATAATACAAAATAGAAATGGGATAATTAATGGTAATTACAAATATTGTGTTTGTAGCTTAAAAATAAAGACTTTTTTATAATATGCAGTTTTATGGCATAACCTATTTGTGTCGCAATATCACTAGGAGTCTATATGAAATATAGCTAATAAATAATTACCCACAAATTGGATTCATTACTGGCACGCCTACAAAAGCATAGTCCAAGTTAGTAGTAATTTAGAAGCGTCAGATAATTTAGTAACAATATTTTTATTATTGTTCCAGAAACTACCAATGTTACATTACTCGTCACAAAGTTCACTAAAATAATTCGAACTATGCTTAACGGACCATACATTCCGTATTGATATCATACTTGTATCGCCTATATTGATTATATTGTTATACAATACATGAAACTATCACTTACGATTACGACTTTGAAACTATACTTCATGTGGCAAATTACATGCAACTGGTGATTATGATTCGATATTTACAGCGGTTTAACGGAAGTTATTAAATGTACGTAATGGCTCCGCAGACAGTCAAACGGCTGAATCAAGCGACACATCATTTGCCATTTGTAAAATAAGGTCTAGGTACGTGCTGAATTCAAGCCTCTTGACTGTCTGAGAAGTCTTATGTCCAAAACTTACGTCTAGAATATTGCTTAAACGACTAAAATACTATAAATACACCTACTTTTGTTTTTTGTGGTATTGCCAACATTACAATTAAGTTACCATATACAAATTCCCTGTAGAATGTCTTTTACCATGATTAAGAGAGCATTAATGTTGTGTTAATGAAATGTTTTGATGAAAATTAATAAATACCTATACTTATGTAATTACTTAACCGTAATTAGATAGTGGATTTTACGTCTTATAAAATGATATTTGTGCGCGTGAACCACGATAAAGTACAAAATTATTCTCATATTTAATATTAACATGACAGATTCAGTTCTTTCGCCGTTAGAATATAATAAGTAAATTAACATTAAAATATTTCAAGACGATAAAAATTATACTAAGTATCATGATAAAATTTAATAAAAAACAAACGAACAAAATTATCAATGAACCAAAATAATTAAACATTTATTTACATAAAACTTTTTAAAATCGTTGTAACGTTAGCATTAAGTTATAATTAATTAATCATCGTGTAATAAATAAAATTACTCAGCAGTCTATACGATAAAATAACGTTACAGGAGGTCGACGCTAGAATATGTTTACCATCAATAATTTATCATGGATATATTTGTTTATCATTACCTTAAACCTACGCTCCAAGAGGAAGTGTGACTACCTTCCGGAGAATATGTTTATCGAGTTGGATGTCGTCCGTTTGCGGACAAGGGTAGCCTCAACTGAAAACAAAACAGATGAGATTGATTAAACAAAAGTATTTCTAATCTTACAATAACTAGTTTTTGGCAACTACAATTATTGGTATCATAAAAATATCATATATAAAACACAATTAAATATATATATATAATAATAATAATAATATAACTAATCGCTGTTTGTACATATGTGGAAGATATATGATATAAGAAAAAGAAATTAGGTACCTACATTTATATGTATAATTATTCTATACTTATGTTTGTCACCTATTTCCTAAAAGGCTGCACCGATTTAGACAAAATTTTGTGCGCATAAATTTATATTCATTTCTTGATGGTTTTTAAAAATACAATTGAATTCGTTAGGTGGTGTTGCTTTTCTACCGAGTACGCTAATAGTCTATATTTTTATTGTAACATTTGTTCATTTTTACTGTATAGTAAAATAACATCAAAGACATTAAATGGTATAATAGAAATTTTATTTACACATACAAAATTTGATTATTAAGCAGAAATTTACTGTCACCCAGATTATTTTATCATTTTGTGCGTTTGTTTACATAGAAACACTGAAGAATCCAAACAAAGCATATAACGTCAGTGTAATAGTCTTTCAGTACATAAACCTAAACTAACACTTACGTCATGGTATTACGAGATCGTTGAACTCTTAACCAAAATAACATCGTCACAATGATGCTGACGTCAACAAATTTAATGGAAATTAAAAAACGTCAGTCAAGTCAGAAATAAACGTTAACAATCACACGATGGATATTACGAGAACAAATCTAAATTAATTTCTATGATTTCATTTCATTTTCCTCATGTCTTCATTTGGCATTTCGTAGAAATTGACTCGTTTTTAACTATTTTCAAAAAACGAAGCAGTTTTCAATTTGCCTAAATTTTTAACCGCTTTAAAAAAGGAAGAAGTATTCAATACGATTGTATTTTTGAACCGATTTTTATGATAATTTTGAAACAGTGATGGGGTATTTAGTTATCTTATTGCGATTAAAGTATTTTTTAGAGATTATTATTATTGTGTGTACCATTATGTCACAATTATTATAAAATGTTACGTCACGAAATATTACGTCACAGTCCTGTTACAGAACAAACAGAACAAATTATTAGATAATGTTAAAAACTGAATATTCAAGGAACATGAAATATGAAAATAAAAATTTGTTCATACTAAATTTAGCAAAGAGGCCAAACAGTTCAATGTACTTGTAAAGGTTTATTATAGTAACCGTTTGATGTCTTTATGAACAAGGGTTTTAGAATACACAAGCAAGTATTCGATTATCTATTTTAAGGTCAATACCTAGTAACGTCGATATGACTTACTATCTTTTTATTTTATTGTACTGGGCAATTTTATTATTTTATACCAAAAGTATTGAATATAAAGGAAACGTTTATAAATGGTGTCACCACAGAATACTACTTCTCTGTTCTGTGGAGTCTATTCTGTAGTACAGTAACGGTGCAACGATCCAAAAACCGACCTTTTATGAAAATTTGCCTAAGAATCGAAATAAAAAAGTGAAAAATGTTTATTTTTTAAATGGGAGCAATAACGTGTAAGTGGTACGGAAAAGATATACAAAGATCCAAAATACGTTTATTCATCCTAGCTTTTATAAAAGTTTGCCTAAGAAACAAATTAAAGACATGAAAATACATTAAAAAAAAGAAAAATGGAAGTAAAGACGCATTTATTAATAATCGTATTTATTTACGTTATAACAAAGTCACTGAAATTAAACATAACAGTCTATACAAATTAAAATAGAATATACTTTATTTATGTTATACAAAGAAAAACACAAGTACTTAATTTACAAAAACACACTTGTACAAATACAATAAGGCGGCCTTATTGCTGAGAGCAATCCGTTCTAGGTATCATTAGGGTAAGGTATTTGATTATCAAGCGGGCAGGTACACAAATAAGGAAAACAGAAATAATATAAAATGAAGGAAAATAAATACAAATAAACAAGTGCAAAATAGAAACTTAGAACAAAACTGCAGGGAGGCGTTTGGACATTATTGACCAGACTAAGTATTTCAATTATGAGATGAGATATGTGGCCCACTATAAGTACGATAATGGGTTGTTATAATGATTATATAAATTGCACCATTTCATATGTAAAAGTTCAATAAGTGTTCTTTCATTTCACCTCACGTTAGTTAGGGAAATTTCTTCACTGCATGTTAATAGTTTTTTATTCGGATACTAAGTATATCTTGTAAAACTGATTATGTTTAAACACTTCAGTTGTCAATGTGGAACAGGGTGGCACAAGAAAGAGAAGAATGGAAACGATTGGAGGAGGCCTTTGCCGATTGGCAAACAGATCTACAGACATTAAAAAAGATCCAAATAATAGAATAACTATTTTCGTTTTAAGTTTTAAAGCTTTGTTTGTTTGTTTTAAAATAATGTATAAGTTGAATCTGAATAAAGGCTATAATATAATATAATATAATAATAACTAAGTATATAAAATACTAATATACTAAGTACTATAAAGTTCATTGATCTCGTATATTACCCAATAAAGCATCTGTATTATACAAATTACAACAAATGACCTCGGTGGTCTAGCGGTTTAGCACACTGCTTTACTTCGGATGGTCGGAGATTCAATTCCTTACAAATGCACTGTATTTGTAATTGTGAGTATAATTGTTTGTATCGGTCTGTGTGTTTTCTATGTATATTATGTACGAATATACAAAATAAATCTAAATAAGTATTTATATTAATTGTCTTATACTCATACATAACACAAGTTCTGCTTCCCGTGGGACTGTATGTCGTTGTGTTAATTCTCCACGGTTATTTATTATTATTAATTCATCATTAGGGATTTGTTTAATAAAAAAAAAGTTTTAGTAACATGGAATTCCACAATTGTTGTAATATATGACGATGAGTTATAATTATAGATAATGGAATGGCCAAAATGCTGACACCTGATGAAAACCAGTAACCTTCTTCTATATACATGAACAGCACTACGAATATCACTATATCGCGTGATACCTATGATATTCATGTGTTGCCATTCCAGAGAGGTAAGGCCCACCTGTTATCCTGTAATATAAACATAAAGATCTCTATCTTTACTTACTTGTGGAGTCTTGAGGCGTGAGTGGTCGTTTAATAATTTGCTGTAAGACCGCAAGCCAACCGGCACGGTCCTCGTGTGTGGTGGCAGCTAGGCAGAATATTCGATCTGGTGTCACCAATTGAAACGGAAATCTGGCTTCCTTACAGCCATTTCCCGTGTTTGATACTCTTATGTGATAACCGTTAGATTCGTGTCCTAGAAAAAAAAATGGTGTTTAAAGTTAATAATTTTCAAATGACATCTGGAAGGACGGCATTAAAATTAAAACTGATGATGATGACGATAGAACCGGATAGCCGGATATATGCATGGATGACGGGATATACTCAGTGGAAATGTTTTATTTATAAAGCAAAAACTTTAAATAATCATATATTAGGTAACTTTTTAAATGATATTAATTAATTACTATATTTCCCAAATAATATATATAATATAAAATTAAAGTGTAAAAGTGCTAACATAGGACTATATTACAAATGTTATATAATATTATAAATGCTTTTTCGAGCGTGTATTGTACATAAGAAAAGACTTTATTATGGGCATACACTAAATAGATTTTATTATAATAATATATATGAAGAGACGTTTTCAGACTCCCATTTGTACGTCAGCTTATTTGCCGTTCCATATAAGTAGTGTCACAAAAACACACCAAATTGTGCAAACCGTTAATTGAAATAACCTCAAAACATCATCTCACAGTCTATGTTCAATCCCAATACCGACGCCGTTTAGATGGATGTCATATGGATGTGATATGGATATCAAAGCCCCTACATTTTTTATGTGATCGGGATGATTGGTATCACAATAACAATGTTAAAATATTTAGAGCAACCAGTGTAAATTAAGCAAAACACTCACCAACAAAAATTTCCCCTTTAGGATACGCATCGAGTGGTTCATCGTGGTACATCAGCTTTCTGTTGTCCAGTGTGAACCAGCGACGGCGATGAGCGTCGGAAGGTCGAGGGCCTGTCTTCCAAAGCCAACCCTCACGCGCAAAGTCCTTCGGAAGCCGGAGTACCAGCTCCGACTGCGGCATGGATGGGAAGGCCACTTGCAGAAGATGCAGTTGGGCGCAACGAATCGCTGTGTACCTATTTAAAATAATTAACATCACAGTTACTTAATTTTATTTTCATGAAATGTAAATGGCATACAATGACGGTGGAGCTGATGGAAAGTGGCAATCGTTATTAATATTACGTGTATAGCAATACGTTCAACACTGCCTCTCTGATCGATCCCTCGTTCAATTCCAATGGGGATCGAAATTATGACAGCCTAAGCCGAGTTTTGAACCCCTAGTGTGCTCTCAGACTAAAGTCGTATTCGTCAGGTTGGAGTTGGCTTTCAGTTTCTTCATAAGTACTAGCCGCCGCTATCGTGAAGCTGTTAAGGCCAATAGCATTAGAATAGTTCGAAAAAAAAACGATCATAGAATACTTTGTGCCGTCTGTGATAAAAAGATGATGATGATTGTAGAGACAAGAAAACAGAAATGATATTTTATGGTCAACGTAATTGTATGTTTATAAGTGTGTCTAATTATCTCGGCTCACTCGTATATAAAGTAATAAATTAAAGTAAATTATTAATTACTTAATGAGGCCCTTTCCGACTTAATGAGCAAAATAAGCAAAACATTGTAGTAAAACACATAAATAGATGTTTACCAATTGCTTATGACCTCGGGCTCCTCGTGGTACACGTAAATATGCCTTGTAGACCCATCCTTCATGAATGTTAATTGCATAGAGTTCATGTGACCAATCTTCGCCGGAGCAAAGCATACATTTAGCTCTGATAATTTCAGGACACCCTTCGGTTCTCTGTTCTCCCTCACGTGATACCTGTAAAAACAACATGAAATAAAAGTGAGTTAAGAATAATTCAGCCGCTTGCAATCCCATTCCAAATGATTATTCAAAGTACTTTTTAGTTTGACATTTTCATAATACTTGAAAACTTTATTTAAATTCAAATACAGACCCATTTCCCTTAAAAATCCATTAGACACATGCATTTCACATTTTTCAATGAGAACAGTTTTCAGTAATATGTTGTATAACATAACATGTACGATGTAGTAGATAGTACAGAACACATGTTTACGACCAACCTTCCCTTGAATAGTATCATGCTCGACATAACATTTATTTTCAATTGAGCATTATTTTTTATTTGTTGTAACAAACAATGTGATGTAAAATTTTTAAATGTATAGATACATCGTTTTTCAATGTAACTCAGTGTCTACAATGTTAAATAATTTGTAAATAATGCTCAAATGGATATTACAAACACAGTGCTCTACTCTGATGTTACTCTGTCATGCATACTTAAATAGGATTTGACTCCACGGCTTTCTTTCGCTAGAAAAATCTACAAATATAAATAAATCAGTATTTAAACTTTATATGACGGCATTACACAAAAAATAGAGACGTCATCTCATGATAGATATAAGAAATTGAGTTTGTGTCAGTAACCACCTACGTCTGTTTTATGATTTTATTTCATGTGTGACTATTTAACTACATCAATATATTTTATATATGTAACAGATCTTGTAGTTGGTATAAGAACTACTTATATATATTTTACACCGATTTTAGTTTACTTACCTGTTAATAATAACTTAATTTCTATATATATAGGTACTCGTGCGTAGAAAAAACGTTACAAGTGAGCAGTTTAGAAGAAAAATGAAATTATATACGAGATATTCGTCATAATTATAAAGTTAAACATGACATTATGGATATATGTAGTTTAATTAACTGTCAAACGACATTCTTGTGCACCATAGTAGGAGTCATTAACATTGTTAAAAGTATCCGATTTTGATAATTGTTTTAATAGTGTTCATAACACCCTCTGTCCACAGCCGTGACGACAAATACTAATTTAAGCATTTTGACTCTAACAGAGTAATTAATGTGCGAGCGTTTATCAAAATCAAATGTTTAATTAGCACCTTAACAGATTCCCTGTGATGTATTTATAACAAACACATTATTACATACTAAGACTAATCCCAGAATGGGTAATGAAAGGTATAGCAATTTTACTATTATCCTATGAACAATCATCGTACCCATATTTCGCCATGTACATTTGAAGCCAACAGTAGTACAACATTATTATCATATGAGAATTACTTAAAAATTTTAAAACACACATATTACGTATGTACCTATCCTATTCGATTACAATTCATTTTTAACAGCATTATAAACCAGTAATAGCCGTCGTTAATATTATTAAACGCAAACACATTTGAATTTGAGAAAATGATCCATTTACGAAGTAATGAGATTATATATTTAGGTATGTAATAATAAATAGAATCCACAAATATATGTTTTGTTATTGACAATGATGATAACATGATATGGGGTGAGTGACATGATATTTCGTTGCATTAGTAGATAATAACAAAACCAAAACCTTAGTATTTTTTGCTAAACGTAATCTAAAAGTGCTAATAATTAAAACTTCGACGCGCTCAAATGTAAAACCGTTATTTCCAAATATCTTTCGTTGCGTTGGTTCTTACCTCCATCGACCAATGTTTTTGACCCGGAGTCGATCGAATAATCGATCGAGACAACTCGCGGCACGGCCACAGCCGTCGGAAGCGTGATGATACCTAAGAACCAGTCCGGATAATGTTTATGCTAAACTGTAGGCACTGTAGTTCAATATTTACAATCAAACGTCAATTTTATATGCGAGGTTTTAAAAATCGGTTGTCGATAATCGCCTTTTTTACATTTTTACATTAATTTCTGTTTACTTATTAATATAATTACACGACATGTTTAAATATAACGGAACCGTCCACACATTGAGGTAACGAAGTGTCACCCGTTAAATTTAAAGATTGTATGTTACTGACGTATCTACGTAAAGAATTATCGTTTTGTTAGCATCAATTCTAGGATTTAATATAAGAAACTTCGTCATATCAGTATGAACACAAGAATTTTACAATAAACCGGCACATTGCGAGATTGTTTGCAGTGAAAATAATGATCCACGCGCGAAAAGTTTAATGGCCACGGAAAACAGTGGAGTGCAAAATTACGTAGTGATGTTTGTATAAAGGTCTTGACGTAGTAATGAGAGGCGTGGAACTTTTCGTTAACCGTACGTCACTGTCTCATACCATTGTTGTCCTATAGAACAGTATTATCTTATCTATCAATGAATTACATTTTAAGTCTCGTTGCTTCTTATTTACATAAGAATACCTAATTGGTAATTTTATAAAAAAATCTCTACTCGTTCATTGTTACTCAAATATTCTATTACGCTCAGTATTACTGCTGTAGGTTTTTTAATATAAAATAACAATTTTCTACAGATAACCAAGCACATATGTAATTCTGAGAAATGGTTACAAAAATTAATCAGCACAAACAAACACGCAACAGATTTTTCTTTACGTAACTACGATATGTAGGATTTATCTTTTTATTATCTTTCACCAAGCGACTGGTAAATATTGATTGTTGACTGAAATTAATTTGCCTCGGTACGTTTAAATGTTTCACATGGTATTTACTAAAATTTGGATAGTACACAATCATTTTGAATACGGCATTGTTTTTCGAATAGCCGCTACTTAAAAGAACATTTATTCCGCTTTTGCAATTTTTAATGTTACAATATTCTACTAGATAAGGACTAGATACAAGACAAATGTTTGGTTTGTTTATTTTTCTTTAAATATTTTAAAATTAGCTATGTAGCACACCACATTAATGAAAACAATCAATTGGAATAGAATATGTTATTAAAATAATGGGCTAGTTTTTTTAACGTTGTTTTAGCATTAAAAGTTGATGTTTTGATTACTCATTTATGCGTCTAAATTTAAACTTTTAATGATGTTTGATCAAAACGATTGTTTTTAGATGCAAACGAAAAAAAAACAATGTTGCGTTAATGCATTAAATTAAAACAAAAAAATAAACCATTATGAAAATTCATTAAGAATATTACATCGTAAGATTCTTAATGATTTTTCTTTGTAATTTATTTTAATATTCGTCTGAGACAAATTACTATTTCATGTATATTCTTGGACTCAGACCAGTAAACGTATGTATGTAAATATTTTACGCTTTTTGTTTAGAGTCTATAGTAGCCATTTATAATTATTTTGTTTATCGCCAAGTAGTCTAGGTATACTATTATGTAAGCACTCACACAAATAATCACTGATTTCAGATTTTTTAATCGTATACTTTTTAAAAATTCTTTTTTTACGACACGTCAAAATGTGTTTTCATTTTGGTTTTATAATTAATGTCTGAAAATTAAGTACGGTTAAGCTTATTTTATTAATGCGTGGACGCTGAAGCTTGATTCAATGAAAATACATATGATAACAGTATATCCAATGAAATAAGGCAGTTTGGCATAACCTCACAAAGAAATTAACTTAATGAAGCTATTATTAATAATAGATATGTTAATGGATGAAATTATGGTAATTATGATGGATTGTTAGACGGCAATAAAGCGACTTACTTCAGGGAGTCTTCGTTTTCGCAAAGCACGAATTTTCTGAGTTGATACCGGCTGTCTTCTTTGCCACGCTTCATGAGGAAACCTTCCATGGTACCGGATAGGTAGCTCTGGCGCTCTGGATGGCAGAATTCTTCGCGTTCATACTTCGCTCGTATCCATTGTTCGATCAGTACTCTGAAATTATAAAGTTGTTAGTGTACAACTTATTTTTTTTTCCATAGGGATAAATTCAACGGGACACATTCAATCACAATTTAACAGCCGCACTAAACGAAAATCAACTTTATCGATTGGAATAAGTGTTAGCCGAGATGTGTTCAGTTTTTGCAGAACACTAACACGTGTAATATCCCGATAATACTAAAAATACTGTTAAAAACTATCGAAAAATATCTGCCTTTTGGAAGTATAAATAACTAAAACTCTGGACAATTCACACAACGCCATCTAGTCCCAAGCAGGACGCAGGAAGTACTAAACATAGAATAACTATTGCACTCATGAATACAACTGTTTACATCATGTCAGGAATCGAACCCGCGACCATCGGGGGGAAGGGGATTGTTAGTAATGTGGACTCTTGACCCCATTGCTATCAATGTACTATGTCAGGTTGACCTCCACGCGGTTCCCCCTGGAAACCATCGTGATAAATTACATGTGAATTTGTCACGATGGGCTAACTGACCTGACCTCATGCTCATATTATCACCCTCCACTGGTGCCCCGCCAGCGTAAACCGTTAGCGCAGGCGGGGGCACCATTTCATTATCACATAAAAAAAAAAAAAACCCGCGACCATCAGAAGTAAGGCGTGCTAAACCGCTATACCATCGAGACCGTCAAGATAGTTCAAAACTTTTCAAAACTCTCATCTACCTATCATTAGACAGTTTTCATATTCTGTCATAGTAACGATAAATTCAACAATAACATGACTGATTAAAATTCATCCAGCCGTTTCGATGATGTGATCGATAACGAATACTACATACGATACGCCAAAACACAACCCCCCTTGTTATCATGTTGTCATGTTAGCCAATATCAAAACTTTGTCTTTCATATTTCCGAAAAGAATTTACGACCACTCACGGTTTTAGAGACGAGTTCATAAAACAGAATAAGTTTTGCGCGTATTAAGTGAAATAATCAACCGTAAATTTATCGAAAGTAGATGTTTTTTTTAATATTTGGTATTAAACGGGCACAATATATCGATGTTGTGCCCCATTTATTTTGCACGTTCTATACTACAATACCGATGTATATTGTATTGTATAGAAGGTACAAAATAAATTTCATACTACTTTTTCGTTCTGTTTAACCGGTATTGTCAATTATGCAGTGTATACCATACTCAAAAAGTAGACGAATTCGGCAATTTTAAACTGAATTTTACTTAACTTATGTATTAACTTAGTTTTAAATGTAGGCTACATTATGAGTATCGCTAAAGAGTCTTAGGACTTCACTTTGGATGCTTGTGCGTCCTCCGCATCTTTGTAGGACTGGCACAAACATCTGAATTTACATGTTGTATTCGTTATTGAAGACGTTATTAATTGAATACAAAGTTAATAAGAATTAATAAATAAGAACTTTATAGTCTGCTTTTTTACTCTATAATAAATAATGTCTATAGCACGGTGATGATGATGTTGTCACTATTTTTGTTCTAAGTTTTTTAAATAAAAGAGTATTAAAACAAATGTTAATAACAATCTTCGACAATTCGGATATCATAATACTGCCTATAGTTACGGTAAAAGTATCCAGTTGATTTATTTTTAGATTAAGTAGATAATATTGTATTGATACCATATTATCGTAGCAAATATAATAAAAAATATAATAATCATAACAGACTAAATAAAAATAAAACAAAAGATTATTCGCTAAACAAAGATTTATAAACAGGACATGTATAGGTACAAGATGCATGATGAATTTATGTCACCACTTTAGAATAAGATCTAATCGAAACTAAATCGATTTTTGTATATATAGTCGATTCAGAAACGTAAATAACAGTAATACTACTGCTATTGTTCGCTAAAGGCTTAAATCTAATTGATGGTATTGATAAAAGTGAAATAAGTAGAGATATGAAAAATATTTTTGAATTGAGTTAGTTATTTAATGTGATCCTATGAATTATTAAATACTAGCTTTTACCCACGGCTATGCTGGCATTGAATGCATTAAATAAATATCGGAGATCATAGTCAATTGATCTTAATTGATTTATATTATATTTAGTAGTATTTCATGATGATCGGTTTAGTAGTTTTTGCGTGAAAACGTAACTGTGTAAAAAGGGATGTTCCCTTTCATATTTATAATATTAGTTAAGAATTGATTATTGTATTATGCTCTATGGGGAAATTTGATCAGTTTAACGTTACCGTTACGGTCGGTTTCTAAGGTCTGACCATTATCAATAACGCTGTACTATAACCAGTTCCCCAACAACATGTAAACATTTCAGTACATTGTCACTGTGAAATTACTGAGAACTACAAACATTTTACGTATTTTCACCGATAAACTGTTAATGTGAAAAGGTACGATATTATATAGATATACTATGTGACCCCAATATTTCAAATATATTACAAATGCAGTTTATTACGATTTTTAATGAGTTCTTGTGTAGTGTTTTGGTGTGATTATTAATATTATTACACTAGATAAATTCAAATGATATAAAACCCTTGAATATGCTAGCATGACTCATATTTTGTATGTTTTTAGTGTTTATCATTCGATAGATACCTACTCTATAGAATACTAACACTACTAACTGGAAAGATAACGTACCTATAGATCTGGGTCATGTTTTGATATTTTCCTAATTAACGTTAGCAGTAAGTGTTAAGAAATCATTTATGTATAGTTTTATTGTTATAAAAATTCTAAAGTATTGTAGAGATCATGTTTGTTTGTTTGTTGGAAATACTTGTTTCTATATAGATGCATGAATGGATAGCAGAACCTCTAATTCCCGTTGGTTCCTACCTACGTTACGTAATTACGTCTGCATAATTTTTTCTGTCATGTTTCGGCAAGTCGATCTATGTTTATATTAAGATATCGCAGTGAAATTACTTGATTTGTATACACAAGTTTATTATATTTTTTACAGAGTATGTATTCCAATTTTACAGTCTTTTTTCATTGGATAAAGTCAAATGAGTAATTATTTTTGTGTTGTAATTCCTCTTTATGTCTGTATTGTTTAAATTAAGCCCAAGCGTTGTTTTTGCCAATCTGGAAAACAACTTACTTTTTGTACATATATACAATATCTCTATACCTACCTAGCTTATCATTTATATATAGTTTGATAATGGTATAGATTTTAGACGTAATAGTACATACCGCAATATATTACAACAATAACTTCACAAAACAGACACCTATGTATCTACTCTCATAGACACTTATCTTTGCTCTCTCACACAAACACGTTTATTTTTTAATGAAAACTATTCCTCAAGTAAGCGTGTTCATATCTATTTCTTTAAAAGTAAATTTAAAATTTAGTTACTTATTAGATAAGCTATATGAAAGAGTAAATAAAGACAAATTCATTAGTGTATTACATATATATGTATAATATAAACATTCACGACTTTAATACTATATGGTGTATTCAAGTAGACTATTCCTGTCAACTCTTGAAGTTGTTGTAAATACAATGTTATAAATCGCGTATTAATTACGTTATTGTAAAATTTCTCAGCACTGGAGAGATGAGAAAAAAAAATATTTCGACATTTCGAGTTTTATAATGGCTGTTTTGTGTATTTAAAAAGTGTTATTTTAATTGATTTATACCATTCGAAGCAAACAGACAAACATGTACAATCATTATACTATAATAATTAGTAATAAGGACATGGAAGCAAGGATAATGTATTGGGTAATGTGTTTGTTTGTTGTAAATAAATAGCTCAACCCAACAGGCATAATTTATCTGTAATGCCAACAATTATTATTGTGTTATTTCCCTTTATGTACAAACAACGTGTAGGTACTTATATACTTGATTATTGTTGAGTAATAATTACAATAATAGCTCAGTAGAAGTATTATCTCGTCTGTGGTGGAGACACTCGCGACTCAGTTACATTTGTTTACTCAATAGACAATTTTAAGAAGTTTTTTTTCTAATACATATACTACTATACGTGAACTCTGTGATGTCAGTCGAATTTTTACTACAGCAGACCAATTTGTACAAGGTGATCTGCATGGATTCCTGTCTAAAATATATCTACCGCCAAGCAACTTGTTCTTTTAAAATGTGTTACGGTTTAATGGGTGAGATATGGCAGTGAATGTACGGGGTACGATACCACGATATTAGTCCTAAAAATCAACGCTTGAAAGATACTACGGAATTAATCAGTCTGTGGTGTTGTTCTAGTCTATAAGTGACGTTTGCACTTCCCATCATGTTGGCTGTTTGTTCGCTATTCCAATAACACAAAATAAAAATTGAGAACGCCATTTCATATTAATATGAAGGAAAAATAGTCGAGAATTTCCTCCTTGGAGTATATTCTAGAAATAGGTACAGAATCCGTTGCTGTAAATAAATACGATGAGTAACATCACAGGTAATTATATAGTCTACTATATTATTTAAATATAATAATAGGTACTCACTGTGGATCATATCTGTTTGGCTTTCTGTAACATGGGGGCACTCGTTCCTCGTATTTATTCTTAGCTACAATATTGCCAACCTCCTTCATCCTCTGAATTTGGGAATCCTCCCATCTGTCCAGGTTAAGGTGTTTCACTTTACTGATGTGAGCGCCCATACCACGATGAATGCTCGCACACCGCATGCATATAAATATGCCGAGATTGTATGATGCCCAATCAGGGTCTGAAAAACAAGTCAAAACAGGTAATGTAAAAAAAATATATACCAAATTAGCTTTATCCCGTGATACTGTCTCGCGGAATACAGCCTATGTTATTAGCTGATAAGGGGCACCCATAAATTACGTTAGAATAATACCAGTAATTTTTAATCTCCCTATCACAGCCGGTTATAAGTGAAATGTGATATCAAATATAAGACCCCTCTTAGGAGGTTGGAAGGAGGTTATTTTTATAAATTTTATAATAATTTAATATAAATTATTTTTTTATAATAATGCTATAAATACATTAAGTATTTATTAGCATTATTATAAAAAAATATTAGTAAAAAATGTTTCTTCACTCCTCAATATAAACATTAACTGTATCAATTTTCATCTTCTCCATCCACGTAATTTTCGCAAAAAATACAGCAAAATTTTTAGTTGACGTATAATACTATAGATATAAAAATAATAATCTTGATAAGGATAATACAAGAAAACCTTACAAAAATTACTTTTTAATCTTGTCAATCAATTACTGTCCGACCGAACTCTCGCTTGTGGCAAATTATAGTGTTGGTTTTAGTAGTAAATTAAGACAAAATTATTATAGAAATCACAAATACATTTGTTAATAGTATTTAACAAAATTTGGTGAATTATTATCAAATGAAAATGTACAGACAGTCTGTTGTTTTATGTGACGTTACATTATCATGTAACAAGTCTAGATGGAAATCAAGTAAATAATTTCTAAATAATAAAAAAGCTCTACACATAGCCCCAAAGTATCATAGATAGTAATAATCGAGGAACCCCTTAGGTCACCTCGATTCCTAGATCACCTCGCGTGTAGACAAATCCTTAATGATACTAATAACAATAATGATTTGCCTTACTGACTCATCCGATATCGCTATCAATTTAGGCGATAGACCTTATAAAGTTAGTAATTTATAGTAAACATTTGCTTTCTTTTTCTTTTTGGCAGGAAGTTGACATCTTGTAATAACATAACTATTTTTATGACATATTTTTAACTTACATACAAACAAATTACTGTTGGAATACTTAAATGTCGTAATAGTGGAAAAACCTTTAATTAGCCTTAATTTTAACGACATATCATTTGTATTTATGTATTTAATGGTTTTCAAAATAAGTGATAAATAAAGAAATAATGACGTCATGAATAGCAAAATTTTGATGACGTCACCAAAAATTATACTCCGTCGAATGTATTATATGGTATAGATATTATATTATTAGAACAGTAGGCTCCCGCCTCTTATCCGTGGTGAATCACAGACGTTGAACAGAATACTGTAGGTAGTGTAGTTTTCCACATATAAATAGAAACATTATCAATTCCTAAGGACTGCAAAAATTAGTAGTAGATCCCCTTAAATTAGAGCCTCCATCATTACAAAAATTATTATTTAGGTATTATATGTACTAATTAAATTTTTTTCTGCACTTGTTTACAATTGCACACAATATATATGTCGATCGATATTTCGACGTTATTATGAGCATATCGTGGTCACCACGATATGCTCATAATAACGTCGAAATATCGGGAGTTCATAAATAACATAATCACGGTAAATATTCCGTTTATACTGTATAATAATATGTATAAAATAACCTAATAAGTTTCTATTTATATACAGTTTTATATAGATCTCATCGACTGTGATACCCCGAGCTCTGTTTAATCATTATTCTTTTAATCAAATGTCATGTAGTCATAGTAATTTTGTTATAATTAAGTTAAGTTTTCATTTATCATATACATAATTATAATAGCAAATCATAATAAAAATTGTTTTCGACACAAAATAGACCCCGAGTTATGGTAACTAGAAACATTTTAGTGTATGATGATACGAACGAACGCAGAAAAACCATATAACCCCGAGAATTAAACTTTCTAAATAAAACATTTTCCCTAGACCAATCATTCGACACTTCATTTATTAAAATACATCAATACACATCTGGTTAAATACGTTCCGCCTTAGATTGGGACATACTTGTACGTTTGTACTGTGTAACTATACTGGAAAAAATCCTCAGCTTTGTTTTGTAATCCAGTAAAAAACACTTCGATTCATCACAAAATGTTTCGGAACCCGGACGAACATCGGACGATCCGTCACGTGCTTGGCAGCTTTGTTTGGTTTATTAAAAACTGTATTTTAAACAATTATATTGTGCGAAAGTTATTTATATATATCTATTGTCTTTAGAATTAGCTTTATTTACATTTAATATTTGTGAACGATTACGATACTTTGTCTTGTACTAAATATGAACACCGCGATGGTCGACTTAAAATAGATCCACTATTCCCGCAATGTTTTTAATATTTTTACTTGCTACATTCCCATAGATAAGATAAAACAAACGAAAACAATGTTTAAAAATAATTTTACTTTATAAATGTCGTTCTCGTTATGGATATCAACTGTTGTTAAGTAGAATGACCGTTAAATTTTATTTAATGACATATTTTATAAAATATTAAGGTTTATAAATGTTTTAAGCTACTGTTTTCCTTAATTTGTAATAAATTAACAATAAAATATACAAACCGTTGTAAAAAAAACATGAAATGGTAGATGTTTTAAGAAGAATTCCATTTGACGACTAGATTACTTTATATTATCGAATCTATGTAGCGTATAACACTGTTGTGGCAGCATATGGGAAATGCATATGGATCCGCATTAGACAGCTAAATCAAGCAGCGGATAACGCTAATAAATGAGCATAGACATCGAAACTTCTAAGAGGAACTGACTTTTATTACAAGAAAATAACCTACGCTAGGTTACTTTCTTGTAATAAAATTTGTAAAAATAAAATACTACAACTTATTCTTTCCAACACAAAAGTAGGTACTGTTATATACCTGTGTACCAATAAAGCTTAATGTGAATAAGACAAAAACATTTAATATTTACAATAAATGAGGTGAAGACATATACAATGGACAATGGGTGTCCTTATCGTTATTGAAAAGCGAGTACTTCCAGGTAATTTTGCGAAGGACTAACGAGATTTACGAGATAGGTTACGAACTCAGGTTGAGAACGCACGCATGGTGTTTCTGCTTTCGCAGAAGGTATAAATGTGAATGTAGTATAGGCTGAATGACATCTCTTTGTAAATAAAAGCAGCTCGCCGCCTATGAATACAGTTCTTGTTGACGAGGGACGGCGAACCTCAATACCAACTTAATCCATTTGACTGCATTCAATATAAACCGTCTCAATGAATTTCAAGCCATCAACAACTCAGCAATTTCCGATCAAATGGATTCTCAGTCTAATACGCAGAGATACTGGGTGTTTTTAAGGTATCTATCACAGGCACTGCTTCAATGGGTTTATCCAGCAACATTTTGTACTTCATTAATGGTAATAAATATTGCTACTCAGTTAATGGTTAGCCCTACCTAGGCGTTCTGATATTGTTAATTTCCATAAGCTGCATATGGAAATTAACAATATCAGAACGCCTCTTGTCCCTAATGGGGTCTAAAACACTGAGCAACAGACCAAACCCCTCGATAAAAAAATAACCTGTATTTTGAGTGAAGGCAGTGAAATTACAGGACAGGAGGCATATGTTAGTCCTCCGGGACGTAGGAAGTGTGTCTCGGGTGTCACATGATAAAATAAAACTGTTCTTGTATATGCTACCTATTATAAAAAATACATCAAAGATTTTTTTTAAGTCACAGTTCACAAAGAACCCGCATCATAACAGGACTAATTTAACATAATAATATTCCAGGAATGCACCCTGCGGAAATATGACAATACGAAATGACGCAGTTCAAAAATTAAAAGTTGTTATTTCTGGTTAGTAAGCTAGTAGAGAAACACTAAAAATACTTGCATACCTATGTGTCATTCGTTGACTACTGTTTTGGTGACAGTATTAAGTGGTTAATTTACATGCAGCCCGAAAAACGATTAAATACTTGTATATTAAGTGAAATCCGCGGAAAACACTAGTACAAAATGACGACATTTTATTTACGGTTTCGTAGCTCCAAATAAAAAGATATCAAGGTAATTAATGCAAAGAATCTGGCACGAGAAACTGATTCATATAAATGTACACAGATATATGCTTAATGAGCATTATATAAACATGATTGGCTTTGGATACCATAGACTAAGTAGAATTACATCGACTTTAGTGTTTTGTCCACTTAAAATTTGTATATTTTTAAAACATATAATACAGCATTCCTTATCATCATCATTATGTATAATAGAAAAATAATGTAAGTAGATACCATGGACACTATGCATTTGTTACTGAAAAATATTGAATCGATACTATACCGGATACTTGTTTCTTAGTATACTACCGGTTTCTACAACCATCTCATCTACAAATGTTTAACCACAATTTTATACAATAGGTGTAATACCTATCCGAGGAGGTAATGCATATACCTACTTATATTTGTATGTATGCTGGGTCTCTTTTATTAATTCATCAGGCAAGTCTTACGTCGGCGACGCACTTTATCAATTTAGCTATTGATTTGCTTACGTAGACGACCAAGATTTATCAGCGTAAAGTCATAAACATTACTTCCTAAAAGGTTACATTGAAGTTTCTTCTTGGTTAAAAAAAATAGATTCTCTAAAGCTGTAACAAACTTACAAAATTCAAGTTGCATAGTCGAAAGACATTATCTCGTGGGAAAGAAACTACCACAAGACTATTTACAACATACATTTATCCACATCAGAGGGATCATTTGTGCAAATGTATCCAAAAATTTTGAATTGTTCTTCATTAGCAACTTGATGACTATACCTAAGTCTGAAATCTTCACTAATAGCCTAACTGGAACTAAATGAGGGCGACCGGCCGAGTTGCCTCGTAGTCTCAACGTAAGTACATCCGTATTTTCTACACAACATCGCACTGCGCACCGACACAACGTCACGCGCACGCACACTACATCAGGCCTAGTAAATAACAA